TGGGCAATATAGTCTGTTTCGGGGTACATTATTAATTAATCTAGGCACAGTGTCGGGGAAATCTCCAGCTAAGGTATAGATCAAAAACCACAACACAAACGTGAACATACCCAGCTTGGTCACAATAATACTAATAGTTTGACCTATGCCCTGCCTCAGTTTGCCTGGATGCCAGGAGTGTTCTAGAGCCAGGCTTGGATTTCCTGGACTCATATCGCATATTCAAACTGTTGGTCAGGACATGAAGCACAAACAGATCCCAGTTATTGATGAAATTGGCAGGAAAATGGGCTCTAAAACTCTCCCACATGCCAATTGTTTATTTATTATTAGAATTTATTAAATACGTTATAAGGAGAAAAATATTTTTAACATTTTAATACTTTTTTTCCTGCTTTTTCCATTTGGGATCCTGCTATTCTCTAATCCTGCTGTGAATGGAGGGGGTTACATTTTTGATACAAAAAAAGCCAATAGTGGTAAAAAAAACAATTTGGATCAGTGCTATGGGTGGACATTGGCTCGCCAGGGGGTCTTCACAATGCAAAGTGATTTAGGTGGACTGTACAATGCTAGGGGCCTGGGAAAGACGGCAATTAACCCTTTGTTTCTGGAGGTCCGCACTTTGCACGTGGAGGCAAACTATTATGGGCCACCTGCTGGGTATTAAGGAGCTGCTCACAGCAAAGACTATTTCTAAGGATCTGTGCAGTAAAAATAGTGTTTGCCTCACTAATTCTCCCAGGATAACCTAGGATTTGAGAGTTCAGTCTGATTGATGACGTTTGTCTGCTTCTTGAGACGTATGTCCATCAATCTATGAGCTGTCTGTCAGCCTCTGTGTGCCAATCAATTTATGAGTTGTCTCTCAGAGTGTTTGTCTGTCTCTGGGCTGTGTGTTCTTCAGACTCTGAGCTGTGATGTGTCTGCCTATGAGTTGTGTGATTGTCTCTGAGCTATGATGTGTGTCTTTCAGTCTCTGAGCTATGATGTGTCTGCCTCTGAACTGTGTCTGTCTCTGAGCTATTATGTGTGTCTGTCTCTGAGTTGTGTCTGTCTCTGAGCTGTGATGTGTCTGCCTCTGTAATGTGTGTTTGTCTCTGAACTGTGTCTGTCTCTGGGCTATGATGTGTGTCTATCTCTGAGCCGCACGTCTGTATGCCTATTTCTCACTTTATGTCTCTGTCAAAACTGTTTATGTCTCTGCCTTCTGTTTGTTGACTTTCTCTTGTGTTAATCCAAGGTGAGGTTGGGTGTTTGCACCCTACAAATGGATTAGAATTTATAATCTTGGATTTTACTCTAAGTTAATGAAAGTATGTCACAATGCAGTGAAAAGACATCTTAGCTATGTCCTCATTGTAACAAACAAATCTAGGAAGTCCTACAGCAACGAAACTATCACTAGGGGTTTATAGTTTGTCTGTGTGCAAAATGTCCATGTTGAGCCTCTGTGTGTGTCACTGTCAGTATTGTCGGTATTGTGTATTTGTGTGTGGTAGTATTATGTCCAGTATATGGCAGTGCTTTCTGTCCATGTTTCACATTGTTGTTTGTCTTGGTGGTAGCTCTGTGTATAAAAGTGCTGTATGTCAGGATATGGAGGTGCAGTGTGCCTGTGTGTGACAGTATTGTGTGTCTGTGTGGCAGTATTGTGTATATGTGTGTGGCAGTACAATGTGTCTCTGCGTGACAGTATTGTGTGTCTGTGTGTGACAGTATTGTGTGTCTGTGTAGCAGTATTGTGTATATGTGTGTGGCAGTACAATGTGTCTCTGCGTGACAGTATTGTGTGTCTGTGTGTGACAGCATTGTGTGTCTGTGTAGCAGTATTGTGTATTGTGTATATGTGTGTGGCAGTACAATGTGTCTCTGCATGACAGTATTGTGTGTCTGTGTAGCAGTATTGTGTATATGTGTGTGGCAGTACAATGTGTCTCTGCATGACAGTATTGTGTGTCTGTGCAGCAGTATTGTGTATATGTGTGTGGCAGTACAATGTGTCTCTGCATGACAGCATTGTGTGTCTGTGTAGCAGTATTGTGTATATGTGTGTGGCAGTACAATGTGTCTCTGCGTGACAGTATTGCGTATCTGTGTATGGCAGTATCAGTCAAGTGTGCCTGTGTGTGGTACTGGTGTGGGTCTGTGTTCGACAAAGATATATGTCTATAAGTGGCATTGCTGTGTGCCTGTATTGCAGTGCTACATGTGGAAGATCTTCGTAAATCAGTGTTGTGTGTGGCAGCATCAGTATTGTGTGAATGTGTGTTTGGCAGAGTTTTGTGTGGAAGTGTTGTGTATCTGTGTAGCAGTGCTGTGTCTGTGTGTGGCAGCTCAGTGTGGCAGTGCTGTTTGTCTTTGTGGTTGTGTGTCTGTGTGTAGGAATGATGTGTGTGTTGCTGTCTCTGTGCCGCGATGACACTGCTAACACTCCCCCACCTTTGTATCCCCTCCCTTTCTGCTGTCTCAGACTTGATGTCTCAATTGCTCCTCGTGGCTCCCTGTGTGGCTCCCTCCGTGGTTCCTATACAATATTCCCCTATAATGTTAATATTGATCCTGGGAGCCCTACTCCCAGTGCCCAGCAGAGCCTGCAATGCAGAGAGAGCAGGGAGGAGAGAGGGAAGGAGGGGACAGGGTGAACGGAGGGGGGAGTAAAGGAGAATGACATATACAGAGAGAGGAGAGAGAAATAGTAGATAGAGACAAAGAAGGACTGACAGACTCATTTACTCATTGACAGACAGACAGAAAAAAGAGATTAGGGGTAGAAGAAAAGAGATACATAGAGAGAGACGAGGGAGAAAAAGAGGGATATGAAGAGAAAGAGAAACAGAGTAGGAGGTAGTGGGAGGGAAGGAGTGAGACAGAGAGAGTTGGAGGATATTGGGAAGGGATAGTGAGTGCAATGAGGCAGTCTAGAACAGGGGGATAGAGACCACGAGCAAGGAGAAAGAGATAGTGGATATGGAGACAGTGACAGAGGGCAGGGGGGATAGCGACAGAGAGCAGAATGTCAGGAAGAAAAAAAAAAGGGGTGGGGGTAGTGACAGAGAGCGGGGCAGGGGGAGGAGACAGTAACAGAGACCAAGGGGATAGTGACAGGGACCAAGGGGCAGTGACAGAGATCGGGGATAGTGACAGAGAGCAGAATGGCAGGTAGAAAAAAGGGGGCAGTGACAGAGATCGGGGGAGTGGTGCAGTGACAGAGTTTGGGGGTAGTAATAGAGACCGGGGCAGTGACAAAGATATCGGGGTATAGTGATATAGGCGGGGGACAGTGACAGAGATCGGGAAGACAGAGAGCCGGGGTGGGGGTAGTGATAGAGGGGGCAGTGACAGAGATTGGGGAAGAGACAGAGAGCCAGGGGTGTGGGGGGTGCAGTGACAGAGTTCCGGGGGTTTTGATAGAGAGCAGGGGATGGTGACAGAGAGCAGAGGGATGTGATAGCGAGCTGAGGATGGTGACAGAGAGCAGGGGGATAGTGACAAAGATGGCGGGGGCAGTGACAGAGATTGTGGGATAGAAACAGAGAGTGGGGGGCAGTGACAGATCGGGGGGTAGTGACAGCAAGCTGGGGATGGTGGCAGAGTACAGGGGGGATAGTGACAAAGATGGGGGGAGTAGTGATAGAGAGCGGGGGGTAGTGACAGAGAGGATAGTGACTGAGAGCAGGGAGCAGAGGGATGTGATAGCGTGCCTGGGATGGTGACAGAAAGCGGGGGGATAGTGGCAGAGAGCAGGGGGTTAGTGACAGCAAGCTGGGGATGATACAGGAGGTATATACACAGGGCAGGAGCTAGACACAGAGGGTACGGGGATGGTGACAGAATACAGGGGGTATATACACAGGGCAGGAGCTAGACACAGAGGGTACGGGGATGGTGACAGAGTACAGGGGGTATATACACAGGGCAGGAGCTAGACACAGAGGGTACGGGGATGGTGACAGAGTACAGTGGGTATATACACAGGGCAGGAGCTAGACACAGAGGGTATGGGGATGGTGACAGAGTACAGGGGGTATATACACAGGGCAGAAGCTAGACACAGAGGGTACGGGGATGGTGACAGAGGGCAGGGGGTTAGTGACAGCAAGTTGGGGATGGTACAGGGGGTATATACACAGGGCAGGAGCTAGACACAGAGGGTACGGGGATGGTGACAGAGGGCAAGTTGTTATTTCTGTTATAGTATTAATGACCCTTGTATTTGCTGGTCTGCTGGTAAGATACTCGAGTCATCTAGGGCCTGTTTGTGTGAATCACTACAACTCCCACCGTGTTCAGCCAGCAGCAGCTGCCTCTCCTGGCCCCTGAGAGCTGTCAGTCATGCAGGTGCTGACATATAAATTGATGTAAATGGATGGGGTCAGGGTTACGACCTCTGATCTGTTTTCTGGGCTTTGCCTCCCAATTGTAAGTCTTAGGTAGGCATCGCAGCCGTACAGATAAACAGCACTCAGCTATGTGACAATCTACACCGGGAAAGCAGGGTGAAAGCAGGGTGGCACATCACCAGCTGAAACAGATCTATAACTCCCAGGGTGCCTTGCAGCTGGTAAAGAATCCTTGGAGATGGTAGTTCTGCAAAAGCTGGAGGCCACCCTTTGGCCCATCCCTCCTCTAATTTAAAGGTATCCAGTCTTAGCCTTTAAGTGTTTTTTTTTTGGAAGATGAGTCCCATAATTCTCAGCCAGACTAGCTAGGAATTGCCATCCAACAGCTGGAGGGCCGATGATGGACAGCCCTAGTCTAGAGAGCTGCCTCGGGATGACAATGCGCCAGGCCTGGAATCCAGAGCCACGTGCTCTAGAAGAGGCATTCTGGGGTATAGTGGCAGGTAGTGTCTGGGATCCAGAATCTGATCAGACACCGCTATGGTTACAAGAGAAAAATAAAATCTTCATTTTTGGAATCTGTCTTTAGAAATCTTGTCAAAGATACCTGTGTTTTCAAAATCCCGCAGAATTGGGCCATTAGTCCTGTTAATTATCCTTCAAACCCACCAAAGGGGTTACCCCCCCCCCCCACCATTCCCAGAGGGGACAAGATTTGTCTGCGTCCCATCTGGTTTACACGTTTACCAGCCCTCTCTCCTCCTCCCTCCTCCTCCTAAACTCATATTGATTCAGCTCATGGGTGAAGAATCACCTTCTGCTGTCAGACTCTATCTGGCGACCAGCGAAGCTGACATCTTCCCTAACACGGGGACCGAGGAGGCAGCCTATCCCACCCCACCCCACAAGGAAGAGGAGGAGGTGGGAAGAGAGCTGCACCTTTTTCCAGAAGACACAAGGAGGTGTGTGTGAGTGTGTGCGTCTGTGCTACACAGCATCCTCCGAGCCTGATCAGGACCAGCTCAGCACCCTCTCCCTGGACAGCCACAAACCCCACGCACATCCCTCACTGCGGGGAATCTGCAGGGCAGGATGCCGGCTCTCGCTGATGTCTCCTGGACGCTACTGATGGTGATTCTGGCTTCTGTGCAAGGTGAGAGATGGTGGTGGTGGTGGGGGGGGGGAATCGGCAAGATGCTGCAGTGATGCATGTGTGCATAGACCCTGAAACAAGAAACCATCGTCAACACACAAAGTACAGCACATACATGTCCGACTAATTGATTTATTAAATGTGGGGGCTTTATGCATTGCTCACGGAGATTTATCAACGCTATAAATATGGGTTTTAATGCAAAATAAATGGATAACGGGGCATGGGATTTTAATGTGCAACATTAATCTATAAAAGGCACACACACACATCTATCTATCTATACATACATATATTAATGGTCATTTCTATTTATATTGTACAGTGCTACGGAATCTGATGGCGCTTTATAAATAATGAAATAATAATATGTGTGTGATTGATTTACTGCACACAGATCTCTAGTCATTGAAATGAAACAGCTTATTCATGTACACTGATAAATGTATGGATGCTTTGCCCATAGGTAATATATCTAGCCCCCACATTACAGCATATTTCTATGTGTCTGAATATTAATATATTTTACGTGTTAAATATGTTTTCATTAAACATTTGGAGATTGGGGGCCGCCGCTGTCTTTGTTTCAATAGGCATGGTGGTCCAGACCTGATATACGTCGTATAGAAACGTGCAGTATTGTTTAGAGATGGAGTCTGTGGCAAACACAGTAACATGCCATTTACATGGATGTATCAGTCTACATGTTGACTGTGGTGTTTGATGGTATAGACATACTGCCAGGGCTCCTATCTAATGAGGAGTGTCCTGCAAGGCCTGTGACTGTGATGGGGTTAATCCTTGGGGTATAAAATACACAAGGTAACAGGTATGTCTCCCTGGATCAGGGTGTATACGTATTGTACATCAGGAGTTGTGTTATCATGCAGGAGGCCCAGACTCGTCACGTGTAGGTGAGGGCTGGGGGTCTCCATGTCTTCTGCCTCCACCAGTCCTTTCTTTTTCTGCGTACGCCTCCCACTCACTCCTTTATCCCTCTTATTTTTCACTGAGTTCTATCCTTCCATGCTATGTCTGTGTTTATTCCTCCTTCGTATTTCTTTTTCTGTGCCTCCTCCCAAAGCTCGCTCTACCCCAGTGCCTCTCCATCCTCTCTCTCTCTGCCTTGCAACATGTCCTGCCTTTTAGACACAGCAAGAGGAGAGGTAAAGGAATGCAGAGGCCAAGAGAGTGCGGGCACACATCTCTAACCAAAGATGACCAGTGGGGCAGGTAAAGGTAGATACTGTGTATAGGTAAATGGTAATAGAAGGAAATAGAGACAGAATGGCCGAAGCCAAGTACAAGGCAAGTGGACAAACTGACAGGTATGTTGTGTGTAGCATTCTGGTAATAGTCCCCTCTGTACCCCCAGGTCTGCCCCTTCTGGATGGGGAAGGAACCGATGTCCCAGACCTACAGCACACCCCTTCGCATGGTCGGTCAGACCCTGTCTCTTTGGAACAGCTTGTCCATCAAGCCGTCATGAAGAAGGACTTTCTGTCTCAGGATGTGTTCTTGACAGGTGAGATGAATTTCAGGCAGATCGTGTGCTTATAGCAATATAGACATAAACAAGTAGATGGAATTTGTGAGCAGACGTGGAAATGAAGTTGCAGTATGTCTCCATTTACAGTATTCTATGGTTACACCAATCCAAAAATTACTCAATAAGTCAGTGCTGAAGGGGAACCTATAATTTAAGAAAAAATGTCCCAGCGATCTCCAGAGCAATCTCTCACAGCAACACATGCCATTTCTGAGTAAACCACCAATCAGAAAGTCACATGAGCTTAGGGAAACTGTGCAAAGTTGGTTCCTCATCGGTTTTTAAAATGCCTCAATAATTCTCTTTGTGCATCTCAGTCAGTTCCAGGTGCGAGTGGCCTGGTTGAGTTATCAAGGAGTGAGGGGTATCAAGGTATTTGCTGGGGTGCAGTGATTACTGTATAAACCCAGAACCACCCAGATTTATTAAACCTACTTCATCTTGTATAACACCGGCTTACTTCACACATGTCTGGTGGCATTAGTGGAGCCTGATGGACATGGTTGCAATGTAGAAGACAGTAGGCCATACTTGATGATAATACTGTTTGAAAGGCAAAACTGCCAGTCACACCTGCCATTTTATGCTCCCCCAGCAGAGGTGGCACAGGACCAACAAACTAAGACAGGTGGAGCTCTCTATGAAAATTACTCCTGTAGCTAGGTTGTCCTGGTTGCATTGATGAATGAGGTCCAGCAGCTAGGCTGCCCTGGTTGAACTGCTAAATTATTTCATGTAGCTAGGCTGCCATGGCTGAAATGCTAAATGATGTCATGTAGCTAGGCTGCCATGGCTGAAATGCTAAATTATGACATGTAGCTAGGCTGCCATGGTTAAATTGGTGAATGAGGTCCCGCAGCTAGGCTACCCTGGTTGAGTTGATGAATTTGGTCTTTCAGCAAGGCTGTCCTGGTTGAATTGGTGAATGAGGTATTCAGCTATTCAGCTAGGATGCCTGGTTGCATTGGTGAATGAGGTCCTCAAGCTAGGTTGCCCTGGTTGAATTGGTGAATGAGGTATTCAGCTAGGCTGCCTGGTTGAATTGGTGAATAAGGTCCTTCAGCTAGGCTGCCCTGGTTGAACTGGTCAATGAGGTCCTTCAGCTAGGCTGTTTGAATTGGTGAATGAGGTAGGCAGCTAGGCTGCCCTGGCTGAATTGATGAATGAGGTATTCAGCTAGACTGCCTGGTTGAATTGGTGAATTAAGTATTCAGCTAGGCTGCCTGGCTGAATTGGTGAATGAGGTATTTAGCTAGGCTGCCTGATTGAATTGGTGAATGAGGTCCCGCAGCTAGGTTACCCTGGTTCAATTAATGAATGTGGTCTTTCAGCATGGTTGCCCTGCTTGAATTGATGAATGTGGTCTTTCAGCAAGGCTTCCTTGGTTGAATTGGTGAATGAGGTCTTTCAGCTAGGCTGCCCTGGTTGCATTGATGAATGAGGTCCAGCAGCCCTGGTTGAACTGCTAAATTATTTCATGTAGCTAGGCTGCCATGGCTGAAATGCTAAATGATGTGATGTAGCTAGGCTGCCATGGCTGAAATGCTAAATTATGTCATGTAGCTAGGCTGCCATGGTTAAATTGGTGAATGAGGTCCCGCAGCTAGGCTACCCTGGTTGAGTTGATGAATGTGGTCTTTCAGCAAGGCTGTCCTGGTTGAATTGGTAAATGAGGTATTCAGCTATTCAGCTAGGATGCCTGGTTGAATTGGTGAATGAGGTCCTTCACCTAGGCTGCCCTGGTTGAACTGGTGAATTAGGTATTCAGCTAGGTTTCCCTGGTTAAATTGATGAATGTGGTCTTTCAGCAAGGTTGCCTTATTGAATTGGTAAATGAGGTAATTCAGCTAGGCTGTCCTGGATGAACTGGTGAATGAAGTCCTTCAGCTAGGCTGCCACGTTTGAATTGGTGAATGAGGTAGGCAGCTAGGCTGCCCTGGTTGAATTGATGAATGAGGTCCTTCAGCTAGGCTGCCCTGGTTGAATAAGTGAATGAGGTATTCAGCTAGACTGCCTGGTTGAATTGGTGAATGAAGTATTAGGCTGCCTGGTTGATTTGGTGAATGAGGTATTCAGCTAGGCTGCCTGATTGAATTGGTGAATGAGGTCCCGTAGCTAGGTTACCCTGGTTCAATTAATGAATGTGGTCTTTCAGCATGGCTGCCCTCCTTGAATTGATGAATGTGGTCTTTCAGCAAGGCTGCCTTGGTTGAATTGGTGAATGAGGTCCTTTAGCTAGGCTGCCCTGGATGAATTGGTGAATGAGGTTCCTCAGCTAAACTGCCCTGGCTGAATAGGTGAATTAGTTCCTTCAGCTAGGCTGTCCTGGTTGAATTGGTAAATTAGGTCCTTCAGCTAGGCTGCCCTGGTTGAATTGGTGAATGAGGTCCTTCAGCTAGGCTGCCCTGGTTGAATTGATGAATGTGGTCTTTCAGCTAGGCTGCCCTGGTTGAACTGATGAATGTGGTCTTTCAGCTAGGCTGCCCTGGTTGAATTGGTGAATGAATTCCTTTAGCTAGGATGCCCTGATGGAATTGGTGAATGAGGTCCTTCAGCTAGGCTGCCCTGGTTGAATTGATGAATGAGGTCCTTTAGCTAGGCTGCCCTGATGGAATTGGTGAATGAGATCCTTCGGCTAGGCTGCCCGGATTGAATTGGTGACTGAGGTCCTTCAGCTAGGCTGGTTGAATTGTGAAGACAAGTAAGAACCCTACACTAACATGGGATTCTTATACTATACAAGCGTATTACAAATGGTGATATTAGAACCAAGAACAATTGGCAGTAGTTCAGAGCAGGCATTGGAGATGGTTCTCATGCCATAGTGCTGGCATGGTCCCAAACTATCCGTTGTTAACCTAAAATAAGTCCATAATATTACTAGGGTGAACATTGCTCCTTGATCCCCTACAAGGTTATTTATTAAAGTGAGAATTGCCTGGAATTCAAAGTGTATTCAAAATAATTTCAAAATTTAGGATAAAATAACTGAATTAGAAAAGTTCTCCAGGTTAATTTTGTTTTCAGTTTGGCTATTTTCGCATTAAATTTGAAATTGTAATTCCTGATAATTCATACTTTAGAAATTCTGTAAATGTTCTGTACGCTACTACATATTGGGAACAAAATAAATCTAGTGCTCTCCTAGACTAGGGTTATAACGCTCTGTATTCTCCTATACTAGGGTTATAATGCTGTGTACTCTCCTATACCAGGGTTATAATGCTGTGTACTCTCCCATACTAGGGTTATAACGATGTGTACTCTCCTATACTAGGGTTATAACGATGTGTACTCTCCTATACTAGGGTTATAATGCTGTGTACTCTCCCATACTAGGGTTATAACGATGTGTACTCTCCTATACTAGGGTTATAACGCTGTGTATTCTCATAGACTAGGGTTATAATGCTGTGTACTCTCCTATATTAGGGTTATAATGCTGTGTACTCTCCTATACTAGGGTTATACCGCTGTGTATTCTCATAGACTAGGGTTATAATGCTGTGTACTCTACTATATTAGGGTTATAACACTGTGTACTCTCCTATACTAGGGTTATAACAATGTGTACTCTCCTAGACTAGGGTTATAAGCTGTGTACTCTCCTATACTAGGGTTATAATGCTGTGTACTCTCCTATACTAGGGTTATAATGCTGTGTATTCTCCTAGACTAGGGTTATAACGCTGTGTAGTCTCCTGGACTAGGGTTATAACGCTGTATACTCTCCTATACTAGGGTTATAGCACTGTGTATTCTCCTAGACAAGGGTTATAATGCTGTGTATTTTCCTAGACTAGGGTTATAACGCTGTGTACTATCCTATACTAGGGTTACAGGGATCCAGTGCTTCTACATAGAGAAAAGGATGATACGGTTGCAGTATTCAGACACTAAGGATGTTCAGATAGCAGTGCTCTCACACTAGGGACGTTCCGGTCGCACTGCTCTCACACTAGGGACGTTCCGGTCGCAGTGCTCTCACACTAGGGACGTTCCGGTCGCACTGCTCTCACACTAGGGACGTTCCGGTCGCAGTGCTCTCACACTAGGGATGTTCCGTCGCAGTGCTCTCACACTAGGGAGGGTCAGATCGCATTGCTCTCACACTAGGGACGGACAGATCGCAGTGCTCTCACACTAGGGACGGTCAGATCGCAGTGCTCTCACACTAGGGACGTTCCGGTCGCAGTGCTCTCACACTAGGGACGTTCAGGTCACAGTGCTCTCACACTAGAGACGTTCCGGTCGCAGTGCTCTCACACTAGGGACGGTCAGATCGCAGTGCTCTCACGCTAGGGACGTTCCGGTCGCACTGCTCTCACACTAGGGACGTTCCGGTCGCAGTGCTCTCACACTAGGGATGTTCCGGTCGCAGTGCTCTCACACTAGGGAGGGTCAGATCGCATTGCTCTCACACTAGGGACGGACAGATCGCAGTGCTCTCACACTAGGGACGGTCAGATCGCAGTGCTCTCACACTAGGGACGTTCCGGTCACAGTGCTCTCACACTAGGGACGTTCAGGTCACAGTGCTCTCACACTAGAGATGTTCCGGTCGCAGTGCTCTCACACTAGGGACAGTCAGATCGCAGTGCTCTCACACTAGGGACATTCCAGTCGCAGTTCTCTCACACTAGGGATGTTCCGGTCGCAGTGCTCTCACACTAGGGACAGTCAGATCGCATTGCTCTCACACTAGGGACGGACAGATCGCAGTGCTCTCACACTAGGGACGGTCAGATCGCAGTGCTCTCACACTAGGGACATTCCAGTCGCAGTGCTCTCACACTAGAGACATTCCGGTCGCAGTGCTCTCACACTAGGGACGGTCAGATCGCAGTGCTCTCACACTAGGGACGTTCCGGTCGCAGTGCTCTCACATTAGGGATGTTCCGGTCGCAGTGCTCTCACACTAGGGATGTTCAGATCGCAGTGCTCTCACACTATGGACGTTCCGGTCGCACTGCTCTCACACTAGGGACGTTCCGGTCGCAGTGCTCTCACACTAGGGATGTTCCGTCGCAGTGCTCTCACACTAGGGAGGGTCAGATCGCATTGATTCTACACTAGGACGACAGATCGCAGTGCTCACACTATTAGGGACGGTCAGATCGCAGTGCTCACACTAGGGACGCCCGGCCGCAGTGCTCTCTACACTAGGGTTCAGTCAGCGCTCTCACACTAGAGACGCCCGTCGCAGTGCTCACACTAGAGACGGCTCCAGACCGCAGTGCTCTCACGCTTAGACGCCCGCCCACTGCTCACATCTAGGGACGTTCCGGTCGCAGTGCTCTCACACTAGGGATGTTCCGGTCGCAGTGCTCTCACACTAGGGAGGGTCAGATCGCATTGCTCTCACACTAGGGACGGACAGATCGCAGTGCTCTCACACTAGGGACGGTCAGATCGCAGTGCTCTCACACTAGGGACATTCCAGTCGCAGTGCTCTCACACTAGAGACATTCCGGTCGCAGTGCTCTCACACTAGGGACGGTCAGATCGCAGTGCTCTCACACTAGGGACGTTCCGGTCGCAGTGCTCTCACATTAGGGATGTTCCGGTCGCAGTGCTCTCACACTAGGGACGTTCCAGTCGCAGTGCTCTCACATTAGGGACGTTCCGGTCGCAGTGCTCTCACACTAGGGACTTGTAGAGGGAATGCAGAGTTAGAATCTTGACATGAGATGTACATAGACTCTGTCAGCCGGCTTAGACATTGTAACCCGACAATACATGTTTGAAGCAGCGCCATCTACTGGTTGAAGGAAGCGATTTGCACTGATTTTCATATTTGCATACCACAGGCACTGCAGACAGGTTTTTATTGTCACCTAGCTCCCCCTCCTTTTGGCAGAGTTATATTTTATTATTGCCTGCATGTTTCCCCATTCTGTTCTCACCATGAGTTGAATGTCTAATTGTGAAAGGATAGTCCCAGTTTAGAATAAAGCTGTCTAAGCCTGGTCCTCTAAGGCCCCGGATTGTTATGGTTCTCTGAATTAGTGGGAGAATGCTGGTCTGAAGTCTGATACCTGCCTGGGAGACGGAACAGGTAGATGGAATGATACCTGCCTGGGAGACGGAGCAGGTAAATGGAATGATACCTGCCTGGGAGAAGGAGCAGGTAGATGGAATGATACCTGCCTGGGAGAAGGAACGGGTAGAGGGAATGATAACTGCCTGGGAGACGGAGAAGGTAGATGGAATGATACCTGCCTGGGAGATGGAGCAGGTAGATGGAATGATACCTGCCTGGGAGAAGGAGCAGGTAGAGGGAATGATACCTGCCTGGGAGACAGAGCAGGTAGAGGGAATGATACCTGCCTGGGAGACGGAGCAGGTAGAGGGAATGATACCTGCCTGGGAGAAGGAGCAGGTAGATAGAATGATACCTGCCTGGGAGATGGAGCAGGTAGAGGGAATGATACCTGCCTGGGAGACGGAGCAGGTAGAGGGAATGATACCTGCCTGGGAGAAGGAGCAGGTAGATGGACTGATACCTGCCTGGGAGAAGGAGCAGGTAGAGGGAATGATACCTGCCTGAGAGAAGGAGCAGGTAGAGTGAATGATACCTGCCTGAGAGAAGGAGCAGGTAGAGGGAATGATACCTGCCTGGGAGACGGAGCAGGTAGATGAAATGATACCTGTCTGGGAGATGGAGCAGGTAGAGGGAATGATACCTGCCTGGGAGACGGAGCAGGTAGATGGAATGATACCTGCCTGGGAGATGGAGCAGGTAGAGGGAATGATACCTGCCTGGGAGACGGAGCAGGTAGAGGGAATGATACCTGCCTGGGAGAAGGAGCAGGTAGATGGACTGATACCTGCCTGGGAGAAGGAGCAGGTAGAGGGAATGATACCTGCCTGGGAGAAGGAGCAGGTAGAGGGAATGATACCTGCCTGAGAGAAGGAGCAGGTAGAGGGAATGATACCTGCCTGGGAGACGGAGCAGGTAGATGAAATGATACCTGTCTGGGAGATGGAGCAGGTAGAGGGAATGATACCTGCCTGGGAGACGGAGCAGGTAGATGAAATGATACCTGCCTGGGAGAAGGAGCAGGTAGAGGGAATGATACCTGCCTGGGAGAAGGAGCAGGTAGAGGGAATGATACCTGCCTGGGAGACGGAGCAGGTAAAGGGAATGATACCTGCCTGGGAGATGGAGCAGGTAGATGGAATGATACCTGCCTGGGAGACGGAGCAGGTAGATGGAATGATACCTGCCTGGGAGAAAGAGCAGGTAGATGGAATGATACCTGCCTGGGAGACGGAGCAGGTAGATGGAATGATACCTGCCTGGGAGACGGAGCAGGTAGAGGGAATGATACCTGCCTGGGAGACGGAGCAGGTAGATGGAATGATACCTGCCTGGGAGAAGGAGCAGGTAGACGGAATGATACCTGCCTGGGAGAAGAAGCAGGTAGAGGGAATGATACCTGCCTAGGAGACGGAGCAGGTAGAGGGATTGATACCGGCCTGGGAGAAGGAACAGGTAGATGGAATGATACCTGCCTGGGAGACACAGCAGGTAGACGGAATGATACCTGCCTGGGAGACGGAGCAGGTAGATGGAATGATACCTGCCTAGAAGATGGAGCAGGTAGAGGGAATGATACCTGCCTGGGAGACGGAGCACACATGCCTATCCATTTGGTAAAAAGCTAGACCTTACCACGAAGATTCCTTGCACGGGTCCCTGGTGCTAGGAGAAAATGGACAGATGACAGTCAAACCTGGTTCTAGGAGCAGATTAGACACTGTAACAGGCACATATATTGAAGCTGGATTAGACAATGGAACAAGACCAGATATAGCATTAGAATTACTGGAACAGTACTACCGGAGCAGAATTAAAATAAAACTAGTGTTAGAAATACAAATGTGTTCAACGTCCTTCAATAAACATCCTTCTACAAAACGGAATGTTTTTAATTGCGGTACTAAAAGGACTAGACCGCTACACCCAGACCACTTCATAGAGATGGGTGCCTTTAGTGGTCCATTAAACATGAGAGATGGAGTAGAACTAGTTATAGGAGCATGATTAGATACTAAAAAAATAGGCAACTTACCTGGGGTCCACTGAGCACCAGTCATCTACTCCAGGAGAGCCGGAAGCTCTCTACACTGAGCTAGCCCGGTGGAGCGGGTCTTAACTCATTGGCTGAGAGCTGACACTTTCAGACAACCAACTGGCTTAACTTTATAAACTTAGTGAAGTTCATAAAGATTCAGCTCTTCTGGACCTTTGAATAGTGGACCCCACGTATACTTCAAAGGTTTTGTGTGTTTACCCTGGGAGGACATGAGTGCATCCTGGCACAATAACCATTGTAGCACGCAATAGTGGTTATATTGCTTTAAATACCCAATCCTTAGAAACATTTATTTCCACTCAGCTAGCTAAAATGTCCCTTTCTTAACAAAATGGCGATTCATTTTCTGTAATAAGTGCATGATTTTTTGTGATATTTATATTTATCTTTAACACATGTTGGAGGATATATCAAGACTAAACAGGTGGTATTCTTAGTACAAAGTGTTAAAGGGACACTGCGGTCACCCCAAAAAAGTAAAATCTAAGATATACCTAGATTACTAGATATACCCTAGAAATCCAAACATCCTTGCATTGAATTATACATTTTTTCATTAGGAGTATATATAAATACAGCTTGCAAAAGCTACAGATCTCGTCTGCTGCCTTTGCAAACCCTCCCCTTCTAACCCCGCCCAGACTTTCTGCGGCTGTCCAATCACAGACTTCCCAATGCAGCTCAATGAGAAGTCTTTGCAAGGCAGGTGCTCTGGGCAATTGCTGCCTCTTGAGCTTATCCTCACTAAACTAAACAAACCAGTTAGTAACAGGACCGGTTGTCGGATTGACAGCCAAGGGGTGTAACCAGGTTAGTTTATAAATGTACCAAGTAACTGTGAAATCTGCACTTTTTGTAAAACACACTCTTCACAAATAAAGCATTTCAGCAAGGTTCAGAGACTTTCTAGTGGTTGTCATGGTGACGACCCCTCACTCTCCTCCATAAGGAGCTAAATCAAAGTGATGCCAGAAGGGCACTAAATAGAGGACTGGAAGGAAAATTTGGCCTGAAAATAACCAACACACCTTGTGCACCCTTAGACCTACTGGCTATTGCACAATTAACCTTCAAAAGCATTTAAACAGCTGGCAATGGGGTGAGCAAGGGAAGAACTTGGTATCAGTTCTAATGACAGCTCTACTTTAATCTGTTTGACATTTAATCTTCACTTTTATAAACATTATTTTGAACTTGTACCATTTCTGACCTTTCACTTCCATAGTTTAGTAGATACAACCTGGTCTGTACTTGTGCAGCCTGTACATGGTGATCTTCTCTGTAACACATGGAAAAAATCCATAGTGAGAAGCCAGAACTATAGAGAGGAACTAGGAACCATAGTTAGGAGCCAAAAACCATAGAGAGGAACTAGGACCCATAGTTAGGAGCCAGAAACCATAGAGAGGAGCCAGAAACCATAGAGAGGAATTAGGACCCATACATAGGAGCCGGAAACCATAGAGAGGAACTAGGACCCATAAATAGGAGCCAGAAACCATAGAGAGGAATTAGGACCCAAAGATAGGAGCCGGAAACCATAGAGAGGAACTAGGACCCGTAGAGAGGATCTAGAAACCATATAGAGGAACTAGGACTCATAGATAGGAGCCTAAACCATAGAGAGGAACTAGGACTGATAGAGAGGATCTAGAAACCATAGAGGGGAACTAGGACCCATAGAGAAGATCTAGGAACAATATATAGGAGCCAGAAACCATAGAGAGGAACTAGGAACAATAGAGAGGAAACAGGAACCATGGAGAGAAACTATGCCCCATAGAAAAGATCCAGAAGTTATAGAAAATAGCCAGGAACCAGAGAGAGGAGCCACAGAGTAAGTGAGGAACCATCGAACGGCAACAGGAACCATAGAGAGAAATTAAAAGCAAAACCATAGAGAAGAGCAAGGAAACATACGGAGGAACTAGGAACCATAGAGAGGTGCTGTCAGACTCAATGAGACATCATGCATAATATGTCAGAGGGGCAAGAGGTCACCAAGTCCTCTCCAGGATTCAGGAAAATAACAGAACTGGCTTAATAATAAAATATAACATCCAGGACTGGCAGGTCAATATACCATGGCCATCTATTTTATCATTCACTAATCTGCAATAAATATATCTGTAATATATAAATAGTATGGAGACTGCCCTCGAAAATTCACATCATTCTGATCTAAAATACACATTTTAACAAAAATCAAGTCAGCAAAGTATGTATATTATATTTTTCTGCTAACATTGACCTTTATATTCAGAGTAAACACTGACTCCAGCAGGTAAAATAATGTCATTAAAGCAGGAATTGTACAGAAGGTAAAGGTCTTTTACACCAGAATAGCTGCACTGGTAACATTCTCCAACCCAGATATTGTATCAGTAACTATTTTGGCTTAAGTAGTGCAATTCCTCTCCTTTATCAACTTCCCACAATTCCCCTTTTGAACAAAGTTAGCAGTGATCAGTAACCAGCCCAGCAGATTGCCTTAAAGGTAACCACTAAACACCATAAGCACTACAGCAGGCTCAGAGTCCTTCTTAATCTCGCCAAGGAATATCCAAAAAGCAAGTCTCCCTGGGCGAGATAAGCTATTACCATCTGTAATGTGACCGGTAAAAATATACCATGTGGCTATCAGACACAAGCTGCAATGAGAGAAAGGGTTTCTGGATAAAAAGTCTTGGGCTCACTTTTTCGGCTGCATTTTTGGCACTTTTCCCGTTTGTGCCAACGCATTTTCTTATTTACAAGACAAAATATACAAAAAGTATATAGTTGTGTAGGCGCTTCCAACCTTAAATGCAAACAATATGAGTGAGTGTGAAAAAAGGTGTAATCCCTTAACACCCAAAGACAAAATAGAAAGATAAATAGATTTCATTATTATTACCAGTATATATAGCATATATGCTGGTGGAGCATTACCTATTGTAGTTTGTTAAAGAGTTGGCGCCTGAAATAAATGGAATATATAAAGTTATAGCTGTGAGCTGGAATAGTGTTTGGCGTAATATCACGTTTCGATAGATTTCGTTGAAGAATCGAGGTTCATTAGATAGGCCATTGAAATAAAATATATAATAATCAGTAATATTGCATCAAGAATATGGCTGTACCAGTAGTGGAACATAGTCAATAAGACGCCAGAAAGTTCCACAGAGCAGTCCAGTAAACTGACTTCTATTGGGACTTTTTTCGCGTATTTTCTTATTGTTTATGTATTGTAGTGTTCCACCGTTTTTCTTTAAAGTTTTGGCCATATTTATGTGCAATACTGTATTATATTTCATGATTATACCTGCCTTGTCCCTAGTTATTTCAACACATTTCAATATTTTATTTCAATAAATTTGTATCTACATCTATTACTGTGGACCCCGAAGTTCTTCCAACAGGAATCTATCGAGCCTGAATAGGCACCCAAGAGTGATGTGCATAGAGCCTATGAGGCTCCACCTTTGTGAGTTCAATCCACATATATTATAACTTGTTTATTTTAATCTATATGGAAAGCACTATGTATGTTCCATTTGTTTTTCAGATGTAACCAACATACTTACGTCTACAATAGGTGGTATACCTATTTATGTATATATCTTGTATATACTTTTTTTTGAGTGTGTGTGAATCTATCTATTTATCTTGCATTTTCTTATTTGCTCCAAAATATTCCTATCTGTGCCTATTCTGTCATTTGAGATTTTTCTTCCCTTTTGGTTCTCTTTATGTAGCTTTGCAAATTAGTTGCTTCCCATCTATAAAATAAGGGTGCAAATATGCACCTTAACAAAAATCCTTTTAAAAAATATAAAATGTCAAATTCATCTCCCCCCCCCCCCTAGTAATATTGTATCAGTTATCTTATTTTGTGAATATAATAAATGGTAAAATTGTCAGAAAAAAATAATATTCTGAAAAGGTAATAAAAAGTGGCTACAAAATTTTTATTATTTATGCATTACAGAAAAGGCAGGAAAAAGTCGCCACTATGTAAATGGTGGGGTTATAGTTTTATAAATAAGAAAATGGCACATTTGCACAAAACTAACGTAAACGTGAATGCAAACGTGACAGTTTTCATACATAAACCCCGTCATTTCTGAGGGTATGATATATTATGTGTTATGTCTATACCAGGCACAACCTCCGTCCCAACGCGAGCTGCCCCAGTCTCAATCTCTGAAGATGTGGCTTCCTCAGGAATAAGTGAGGCCCCTGGAGTCCTCACCACTGCAGTTGGTGGAGCCTTCTCTTTACCTCCTCCAATCAGCACACTTACTCCACCATCACCTGCCCCCACTGGGGGTCCTGGACCCTCGCCTGATGGAGAGGAAGAGACTACCACCACATTGATCACCACCACAACCGTGACTACAGTACATAGTCCAGGTAAGAGAACAATTGACTGACAGCTTACCAGCATACTCATTGTAAATAGAATGTACCTGTATAACGTCAGAAAATAAGGTACTGTACATGTGTATTGACTGTATTTAACTTAATGCATTCATATACTGACTGTAGCTAGAACGATGCATGTTACTGATTGCATATTTATTTCAAATGTGTAACTGACTGTATGTATATTGAATGTGTATACTGACTGTATGTGTATATAAACACATATATGTTCATACTGAATATAAAACTCTCAATGTGTGCTGACTATAGGTGTATCTTGATACACTGAAGGTCAGTTACACCTACCGTCAGCTACACACCTGTATATTGACAATGGACAACGTATAACTGACTGTATGTGAATAATGACAATGTTTAATTGACTGTATGTGTATAGTGACAATGTTTAACTGACTGTATGTGTATAGTGACAATGTTTAACTGACTGTATGTGTATACTGACCGTGTGTAACTGACTATGTGTATACTGACAGTGTGTAACTGACTGTATACTGACAATGTGTCACTGACTGTATGTGTATACTGACAACGTGTAACTGACTGCATACTGACAATGTGTCACTGACTGTATGTGTATACTGACAGTGTGTAACTGACTATGTGTATACTGACAGTGTGTAACTGACTGTATACTGACAATGTGTCACTGACTGTATGTGTATACTGACAACGTGTAACTGACTGTATGTGAATACTGACAACGTGTCACTGACTGTATAATGACAATGTGTCACTGACTGTATGTGTATACTGACAAAGTGTAAATGACTGTATGTGAATACTGACAACGTGTCACTGACTGTATGTGTATACTGACAATGTGTAACTGAGTGTATGTGTATACTGACAGTGTGTCACTGACTGTATGTGAATACTGACAGTGTGTAACTAACTGTATGTGTATACTGACAATGTGTAACTGACTGTATGTATATACTGACAGTGTGTCACTGACTCTATGTGTATACTGACAACGTGTAACTAACTGTATGTGTATACTGACAGTGTGTCACTGACTGTATGTGAATACTGACAACGTGTAACTGATTGTATGTGTATACTGACAACGTGTAACTGACTGCATGTGAATACTGACAGTGTGTAACTGATTGTATGTGTATACTGACAGTGTGTAACTGACTGTATGTGTATACTGACAACGTGTAACTGACTGTATGTGTATACTGACAACGTGTAACTGACTGTATGTGTATACTGACAACGTGTAACTGATTGTATGTGTATACTGACAACGTGTAACTGACTGCATGTGAATACTGACAGTGTGTAACTGACTGTATGTGAATACTGACAACGTGTAACTGACTGTATGTGAATACTGACAACGTGTAACTGACTGTATGTGTATACTGACAATGTGTAACTGGCTGTATGTGTATACTGACAGTGTGTAACTGATTGTATATGTATACTGACAACGTGTAACTGACTGCATGTGAATACTGACAGTGTGTAACTGACTGCATGTGAATACTGACAGTGTGTAACTGACTGTATGTGAATACTGACAACGTGTAACTGACTGTATGTGTATACTGACAGTGTGTAACTGACTGTATACTGACAATGTGTCACTGACTGTATGTGTATACTGACAACGTGTAACTGACTGTATGTGAATACTGACAACGTGTCACTGACTGTATACTGACAATGTGTCACTGACTGTATGTGTATACTGACAAAGTGTAAATGACTGTATGTGAATACTGACAACGTGTCACTGACTGTATGTGTATACTGACAATGTGTAACTAACTGTATGTGTATACTGACAATGTGTAACTGAGTGTATGTGTATACTGACAGTGTGTCACTGACTGTATGTGAATACTGACAGTGTGTAACTAACTGTATGTGTATACTGACAATGTGTAACTGACTGTATGTATATACTGACAGTGTGTCACTGACTCTATGTGTATACTGACAACGTGTAACTAACTGTATGTGTATACTGACAACGTGTCACTGACTGTATGTGAATACTGACAACGTGTAACTGATTGTATGTGTATACTGACAACGTGTAACTGACTGCATGTGAATACTGACAGTGTGTAACTGATTGTATGTGTATACTGACAGTGTGTAACTGACTGTATGTGTATACTGACAATGTGTAACTGACTGTATGTGTATACTGACAACGTGTAACTGACTGTATGTGTATACTGACAACGTGTAACTGATTGTATGTGTATACTGACAACGTGTAACTGACTGCATGTGAATACTGACAGTGTGTAACTGACTGTATGTGAATACTGACAACGTGTAACTGACTGTATGTGAATACTGACAACGTGTAACTGACTGTATGTGTATACTGACAATGTGTAACTGGCTGTATGTGTATACTGACAGTGTGTAACTGATTGTATGTGTATACTGACAACGTGTAACTGACTGCATGTGAATACTGACAGTGTGTAACTGACTGCATGTGAATACTGACAGTGTGTAACTGACTGTATGTGAATACTGACAACGTGTAACTGACTGTATGTGTATACTGACAATGTGTAACTTACTAATGTTTTATCTTCCTCTAGTTCTCTGTAATAACAATATATCAGAATCAGAGGGGGTGCTTGAGGCCCCGGATTATGCTGGTGGATCCTTTTTTGGGGGTCTTGACTGTACATACAGCGTGTCTGTATATCTGGGATATGGAGTGGAGATACGGGTAAGTAGATTAGGGTCTGGGAAATGACGTACATACTTGTCTAGGTTGGAAAAATAATAAAGTCCTTTAAGTTCAAAGTGATAAAGAGGAGCAGTTAGAATAGAGAGAGGTCGTATCAAACCCAGAATGGATGGGACACACCTGTGTAGAAATCAGACTCTCTGCGCCCCTGGAATATGGGAAGGTATTATTGTGTAATGTAAAATATAAGGTTTCCTATTGTCTCTTTTTTCTGAATTCCCTCTGCCTATACACATAGCTCTCATTCTGGTCCAATATACAAATATTGATGGCAGCTCTTATCTAATTCGATCATCTATAACTTATATTTGGTCTTAAATAAAGAATTTAAAAATAAAAATCGGACTAGGCAAAAAAAACAAAACACAAAAAAACCCAAAAACAAACCCCACTCTCTCTGATTTTAGGGTTAACCCCAGCAAAAACCTGGACTACCAGAGGTTTAGGGATATCACTAGTGGGATTCCTGTCATATAATTTGCTCAAAAAGCCAATCAGAAGGCAATAGATTAAATGGGTTATTTAATACAATGACAAAGAGCAGAGTGTCTAGCCCCATTGATCTTACTCAGTGTAGCTGCGCATGTCACAGAGTCCACAGAACAGAGACATTCCACTGATTCACTTACTGGGGAAACACGCCAACCGTGGGCTGAAAATAGCCCGACTGGAATAATTCTCCAATCCTGTTTTTGTAGTTTGGCTGCTGTATCTTTCACACAATGTTAACAAAACCTAACTGCTTTACCCTTTATGGGGAGGGAGAGAGGTATATCTCTCGATGTTATGGGAGAGACTTTACACAGTTTAGTAAATTGTATGTGGATGGTCAGATAACCAGCTGTTAAATAACTTATGGTGACGTGCAAGTCATTCAACTGGCAGAGCATCGTTTGGGTTCTAGTCTCCAGTCTTCCCTTTTCCCAGCCCTGGTTTAGTACATGGGTGCTACAGTACAACACAAGACCTATACAGGTGTCTTTATGGTGAGATGTTGTATTTACACAGCCCTGTAGTTAAAAGGAAGGGTAGGCGTAGTGGGTGGGGTTAAACTGTTCATGAGCTTCTCCCTGTGTGCATCATAGGTGGAGAAGTTGAACCTGTCTAAGGACGAAGTTCTGAGTGTGGAGGGACTCGAAGAAGACCGCCGCTTCCTTCTGGCCAATGAAACGCTAATGGCTGAGGGCCAGGTGATCCGCAGCCCAACCAATCATATATCAGTGCGCTTCCAAACTTATCGTACCACCAACCCAGGGGCCTTTAAACTCCGTTACCAAGGTAATGGGGCAAAAATGTGTATTATACACAAAGCATGCCGACCACATTAAAACACACACAGAGCCATGTCTCTTGTATTGTGATTACTGCTCTCTGTATTGAATACATTGACAGACACATGATGATTAAACATTTTTCCATCTTGTAGCGTTTGTCCTGAGCTGTGTATTTCCCGCACGGCCAGAGAATGGGGAGGTAACCGTCACAGACCTGCACCCTGGGGGTGCAGCCAATTTTCGCTGTGCCCCTGGTTTTACACTAAAAGGTGGGAATTCATTGGTCTGCCTCAATATCACCCGACCGCAGTGGAGTGGGAACCCACCTGTGTGTGCAGGTGAGCTGGATACATAAACGATACCATACATATCATCACATTCTATTTTTAAAAAGGGGCTTATTAACTAAACTATGAAATGTGGAGATTTGTTAAGGAAATTGTACATTTAATGCCACAATAGCTGAGCTACAGAATGGTAGTCTTTCCAATATGGATAATTTTACCTAAACTGTGCAATTCTCTGTGTAAAAGTGAGAAAAGTAGTTATTATCTACAACATGCTAGTGGAAACCATTCTAGCACATACGGTATATTGCTCCAACCAGAGAGATGATTGATTACTGAAATTCATTTCGATCATTTTATTGTGCTTCAGTTATCTCTACTGAACGAAAAGTTCCAATGGAAGGAAAGTCACCATAGCAATAAAAATAAAATCAGAACTGCAACTTTTTGTTCTCTTGCATAGAGCCGTTTACGTAACAGGGTTAATTTATAAAATCTCTGGTGAAATTTGCACTTTTTGTAAAAGTAAAAAAAAGGTCACAGCTCAACTGTTTCAGTTTTGTGGAGTGTCCTTTTAAAACAATCTCCAAAATGATGGTTCCTTGGGATTTAGAAGTTTTGAGATTTTGGGGTGCATTAAATCAACGAGGGATAAATCTCTGGGTATCTTTTCTTAGCATCCTGCGGAGGAATCATTCGAAATGCCACAGTGGGGCGCATTGTATCGCCTGATGTTTCTGGTAACCATGGAAACAATCTTAGCTGCCACTGGCTGATTGAGGCGGCAGAGGGACAGCGGCTTCACCTGCATTTTGAGAGGGTGTCATTGGATGAAGATAATGACAGGTAGGTGGCTAATACTTTGGAGGGGTGTATCTATGTTATGGCCCTGTCTTTATTTCCCTAACTTGTTCTCTGTCTCCCCCTGCAGGCTGGTGGTTCGCTCAGGGAGCTCACCATTATCGCCACTGGCGTATGATTCGGATATAGATGACGCCCCAGAGAGAGGTCTTCTGAGCGACGCACAGTCCTTTTACATTGAACTTGTCTCGGAGAATGCCGTCGTCCCATTACTTCTCAGCTTACGCTATGAAGGTGACCGTCTCTAATATTGCTTTCTAACTCCCTGTTTCACAATTATATTCTGTCATTTCTCAGTGCCCTCGTATTGTTACCCTATCTCGGTGCTCTATCTCCAGGTTACCTTGTAGTCTTATCCCTGTCTCGGTGCTCTATCTCTGGGTTACCTTGTAGTCTTATCCCTGTCTCGGTGCTCTATCTCTGGGTTACCTTGTAGTGTTATCCCTGTCTCTGTGCTCTATCTTTGGGTCTCCTTGTAGTGCTATAATAAATCTTTATGTGCTAGCTTGTAATGTTATCACTCTCTATGTGCTAGCTTGTAATGTTATCACTCTGTATGTGTTCGCTTGTAATGTTATCACTTTCTATGTGCTCGTCTGTAATGTTATTACTCTTTAGCTAGCTTGCTGTAATACGTGCTCATTCTCTGACTCTATGCTTTAGATCACTATCTAGCTAGCAGCAGTTAGTGCTCTTTCCCTGATTTTATGGTCTGCGGTCACTCTTCTCTGCAGTATTTAGCAGTGTCCTGGCCACATGATACCGTTTTCTTTCTCTTGCAGTTTTCTCCGAGTCTCGTTGCTATGAGCCATTCCTGGCCCATGGAAATTTTAGCACCACGGATCCACTTTTTGGTCCTGGGGCGCTGGTGTCATTCTCCTGCAATGCAGGCTACATGCTGGAGCAGGGTCCACCTGTGATAGAGTGCGTTGATCCCGCCGATCCTCACTGGAACGAGAGCGAGCCTGTGTGCAAAGGTAAGAGCCCGTGGTACAAACTATCTGGATTAAATCTGTAGCAGTAGGAGATTACTACTGGAGACTCTGTGTCCTTGGTCTGCGAGCGGCTGGGTCTGATTATTGTCCAAAGCAGGACAGGAATGACTGGCAGGAGCAGATGGGGTTACAGAATGCTGAACGTGGAGAAATTACCCTAGATACAAGAGAGGATAGATGTGTATTAAGCATAGCCTTGTACCTCCAGGGAGGGGAAATACAGAGACAGAACTCATAACCTAAAACGAGCTTGGTGTCAGGGAGTCACAGACAACACAAACATGGGTTAGGGCAGTCAAACTATTGTACCCCCCAACTCCCCTGGGTGCAGCGGGACAGTCCTACAATCGGACTCCGGAGACAAGTCTGCATGAAGCCCAGCTAGAACCTGCCCATCCTTGAACCCTCTCACACTAAGCTAACTGATCTCAGCAGGGAGCCCATACAAGAGCTCTTCCATAGCTCACTGTGCGTGGCCTCCGCAGAGCGAGGGCTGAGTGCCCTCCAGGATGTCACACCCTTTTGGGCAGGCTTTCTCCCTTTTCTGATCAGTTTGTCATCGTTGCATCACTGACTTGTCCTGTGCTCATAACTGCTGGTATTAAAAGGTATAAATAACAGAACCGTCAGAAAATATGGATTAATGGAGGTTTGCGAAAGATTGCAGATCAAAATAACAAAAATTACAAAAATACTTTCAAACTATTGCATAGAAATGGCTTTCATATGAAGATAAAAACAATGAACGAGGTCACGTAAAAAACATTTCATTGCGTAATGTGACCTGAATGACTCTCTCATCTGGTTTTATCTCCGAGATTGTCGTCATCTCATCTCAAACTGTGACCTCTTGCCCTGTTCCTACAAAAAGTGCCCCACGCGTTTCGCGACTTAATTACGGAGCAGTAAATTTGAATGTGCAGCTCTGGGAAATATCGCTGCATGCACTAGTTGCCATGGGAACTAATGTGGGGCATGGTTTTAACTCTTGACTGTTCTAAATCACAGGAAACAGTCTTGTTAAATGCAAATTAGAAAATGCTGGATATTCAGAATAATGTAAATACATAGGTTAAAAATTCCATTATTTATAGGGGATTTGATATTTGGGAATATCAGGTCCAATATCAATGCCTTAAACGTTATAATATCTGTTAATAAGTCCTTACTTATGTTTTGTTTTTTCAGTGTAATTAAGGACTTATTAATAGATATTATGGCGATTAAGCTACTAATACTGGACTTTATATTTGAGATTTGTGTTAATACACCTGCAGCAAAATTCAGATGGTGAGATTTCCTCCTTGTCAGACCAGGCGGTTTCTCTTTACTGGTACTTGGGAAAAAACCACAGAAGCATGCAACAGATATAAAGAATAACAAGAATAGGAAGCGATCCCATACATTTCTTAAAGGGACACTATGAACACTATAATTGTAAAAAAATCTTTGAAGTGTTTATAGTGTCTGGAGCCCCTGGCACCATTCCTCCGCACATTGTTAAGCCATTTTTGAATGGTATAATACTGAATGAGAGTTCCTCTGTGCTGCACTGGTTATAACTGCGTGGAACCTACTATACTGGACAATTACTGCTTGCAGTTACATTAATGAGAAGAAAGCTGTAAGGGACACAGAGCAATCACAGAGAAACTCTGCTCTATGGGAGGATCCTACGCTCGTTACCTCACATGTCATTATATAACAGGAGTATAACATGAGTATATCAAACCCATCCCACCCGCTAGGGCAGCACAGAAACAAAATGGCAGCCCGTCCTCACTGACTCCAGACAGGTGTTTCAACCTTCATCAGTCCTCATCGGTGAGGTGCGGCCAGTGCCGCTCTAAGCGCAGTAAGCATGGGATCCTTGAAAACTCTAAAAATATACAAAGAAAACGAAACAGAATCTATGAAACAAACCCAGAAAACAGACACATTAACAATTAGGGTTTGTTCTAGAGTTGTATCTGCTGCACCCACTGGGGGCGCCGTCGTCTAGCGGCAATCTGTGTCAATTCCTTAGTATTGTTTTGTCTTTCCTGGCAGCACTGTGCGGTGGGGAGATTTCTGAGCCCGCAGGTATGATCCTCTCTCCAGACTGGCCGCAGAATTATGGGAAAGGTCAGGACTGCGTGTGGGGCATCCATGTACAAGAGGACCGGAGAGTGCTGCTGGAGATCGAGATGTGAGATCGCTTCACAAATAGCAGATATACAAATATATATATAATATACAGAGTAACATATATATAACATACATACAGCAATATATATATAACGTTTAGAGCAACAATGAGAATGCTACAAATAGGAGACATAACTCGTTTTTTGTTTAAAGAAAGAATACACATATATAATTTTTATAACGGACATACAAGTATATATATTAATACACACAGTGATTTAATAATGTCAAGACATGGATTTTATAAACATGCTCTATATGACTTGAGTATTCCGTTTAGCTTTTCACCATGACATTTGAGCCTTCCTGGTCCGTTTGTAACAAGCACTGTTTAAAGAATTACTCAGAGATTATTCTAAACTGATAACTGTGTGTAATTGGTTTTAAAAATTGAATTCTCTCATCCGTGTATCAGAAAGGGGGAACATGCTCCAATGCAGCTATTCTTTCTGCCGGGCTCTGTAGGCCGGCATTGGTAATTCCTTTGTCCCATTTAGGCTCAGGCACTATGCAATGAATTATGGGGAACTGAAAACATAATTATCCAACGTGTCTGTTGCAGAGTTTTAATTTTTTTTTCCAAATCATCTATTTTGGCCTAAATCTTGCAATTTGGTTTCCAATTAGTGATAATTCATTACGTAGTGAATACATTGTGTATTTTCCTACTCAGAAGTAAGGAGTGAGGACGCAGGTACATAGTAATCTGCTCTGTGTAATTATAGTGTAGCGGGTACTCCTATCTGTAATACATGCAGAAACACGCTAACAATACATGTGGTATATCAGTATACAGTATGGCAATACGTTTCTTTTTTTCCATGTCACACAGTCTGAACATACGGCGCAGTGACGCATTGACAGTCTATGATGGCGATGACCTCACTGCGCGAGTCCTCGGACAGTACATGGGAGTTCATCAGCGGTTCAACCTCTTCTCCTCCGCCAACGACGTCACGTTACAGTTCCAGTCTGACCCGAACGATCCTGTGTTCAGTATGAGCCAAGGATTCATCATTCACTTCAAAGGTATCAGGAGCTCCATGACCAGCACTATCCCCACTGCACCGGCTCCCACTATACCGTGCCACCACTGTACCCTGTCTCCGACTGCACCCTGCCACCACTGTACCCTGTCTCCGACTGCACCCTGCCACCACTGCACCGTCTTCTTCTATACCCAGTCATCACTGCACCGCCCCCACTATACCCTGCCACCACTGCACCATCTTCTACTTTACCCTACCTTCACTGCACCATATTCCACTATACCGTGCCACCACTGTACCCTATCTGCAACTGCACCCTGCCACCACTGTACCCTGTCTCCGACTGTACCCTGCCACCACTGCACTGTCTTCTACTATACCCTGACATCACTGCACCACCTCCCATTATACCCTGCCATCACTGCACCGCCCCCCACTATACCCTGCCATCACTGCACCGCCCACTATACCCTGCCATCATTGCACCACCCCCACTATACCCTGCCATCACTGCACCGTCTCCACTATACCCTGCCATCATTGCACCGCCCATTATCCCCTGCCATCATTGCACCTCCCCACTATACCCTGCCATCATTGCACTATACCCTGCCATCATTGCACCATGCCATCATTGCACCACCCCCACTATACCCTGCCATCACTGCACATATAGTCTCCCACTATACCCTGCCATCATTGCACTGCCCCCCATTATACCCTGCCATCATTGCACCGCCCCCACTATACCCTGCCATCAATGGACCGCCCCCCATTATACCCTGCCATCACTGCACCGTCTCCCACTATACCCTGCCATCATTGCACCGCCCCCCACTACACCCTGCCATTACTGCACCGCCCCCCACTATACCCTGCCATTACTGCACCGCCCCCCATTATATCCTGCCATCACTGCACTGCCCCCAACTATACCGTGCCACCACTGTACCCTGTCTCCAGCTGCACCCTGAAACCACTGCACCGTCTCCCACTACATCCTACCATCACTGCATCGTCGCCCACTATACCGTGCCACCACTGTACCCTGTCTCCAGCTGCATCCTGCCACCACTGCACCGTCTCCCACTATATCCTACCGTCACTGCGCCGTCTCCCACTATATCCTGCCATCACTGCACTGCCCCCACTATACCCAGTCTCCCTCTGCACCTTGTCTCCCACTGAACCCAGCCTCCCACTACACCGAATCTCTCATTGTACCATCTCCCACTGCAACCTGTCTTGCACTGTGTAACGGATCACCTGGCACCTCGACTGGGTACCTCCGTTGAAGGATGCTCCTAGCGCTTCCTGAGGACTCCAAGCACTGTAGCAGACACCACAACCACCGAACCGGAGAAGCATACGAATGCTCCCAAGCATATGAATGCTATAAGCAGCTGAACAGGAAAAGCATACAATCAGCTTACACTCCTGGCAATCAGCATACAATCCAATTCCCCCAATAACGAGACAACACTTCGTTTTGAGGTCAAGCAGAACTGACTGTACTGGCACATACAGCCTCTTTTATTCACAATCCACAAACTTAGTACTGCCCACAGGGTTTTACAGAACAACCAATAACACACGTACATTACAGAAAACACTCCCAGCAATTATACACAAAATCCTCCCCTCTGCCTGTGATCTAATTATGGTACACAATGGGTTAACATAATTATCACAAGCAGGAAAAATACAGTTTTTATACATGCCCTGCCATCACTGCACCGTCTCCCACTATACCCTGCCATCATTGCACTGCCCCCCATTATACCCTGCCATCACTGCACCGTCTCCCACTATACCCTGCCATCACTGCACGTCTCCCACTATACCCTGCCATCATTGCACCACCCCCCACTATACCCTGCCATCACTGCACCGTCTCCCACTATACCCTGCCATTATTGCACCGCCCCCCATTATAACCTGCCATCACTGCACCGTCTCCCACTATACCCTGCCATCATTGCACCGCCCCCCATTATACCCTGCCATCACTGCACCGTCTCCCACTATACCCTGCCATCATTGCACCGCCCCCCATTATACCCTGCCATCACTGCACCATCTCCCACTATACCCTGCCATCACTGCACCGTCTCCCACTATACCCTGTCATCACTGCACCGTCTCCCACTATACCCTGCCATCATTAAAATATAACTTTTAATGGATATACTAAAATGAAAAAGTGTAAAAGATAAAAAAACAAAAAGCACAAGGCTAAATCAATGTCCTATAAACTGGCTAAGGCACTGCACCCTCCAATAGGGGAAATAGCAAGGAAAGTATCAATACAAAGAAATAAGATACTTAATAGTATAGAAATGTAACACTTGCTATAAACAGTGTGGCTAAAGTAATAGAGGAGACTGTACAGTGCTTGTATCCTCTAGACTCCTCCTGCAGGACAGAGTCTGCTGGATATGAAAGAAATGCCTCTTGTGCTCAAGTAGTTAGACAGCACACCAATATGGTTGCAAAACTACTGCACTAGTGGTGAAGAGGCAGAGGATGCCTGTGAACTAGGAGGTATAAGAGGCAGTGAACAGCTAGGATTTGTGGTAGCAATCGATAGAAATATAGAGAATTGAAAAATCCTAACGCTGGCTTTGATAAAGAGTCTAAGTGCCTTCGAGGGCACCCTTTAATAAATGCCTATACTGCTTCACTTAACTCCCCATAGAGAAATAGTAGACAGAGTATAGGACTAAGAGAACAGATGCCTAGCTATAAGAGCAGGTTCGCTGGTGAGTAAGTGCAGCAGCAGAGGTATAGCTAGCTAGGCGTCTTGAGCCCCTGACGCGTGCGTTTATAACTTTAAAAATATACGTCCAATCTTCATAAATATTACATATTCAGAATCAGCACACTTTAAACATAAACACTCTCAAAAATCAGACAAATCCATCCAGGGGTTAAAAAGTTAGCTGGGAGTCCTTTATGACCGACCGCAAGCACATTTTCCTGCCCAAAACAGTTCCATAGATTTGGGCTGTGCGGTCGGTCGATTTTACACAGAAAAATGACTAAGTCCCATTCGAATACACGAACGTTACCGTTCGTGCATTTAGCTTAGTATAGCAGTGAGTTCAAACTGCCGAATGGGACTTAGTCTCTGCAGCTGAAAACTGAGTGTAGGAGAAGGTAAGGGTCAGCGGTGTTCGCTGAAATGTGTAGCCGATTTCAGTTCCATGGATTTGGCTACACATACCGCTGACCTCGTTCGAATGAACAAAGATGGCTGCCGCCACCACGTGTTCGTTTGTCGAATGGCGGCCACTTCGACTACTTCGGCTGCATCCGAAGTGCCAATTTAAAGCTGCAGAACTGCTCCAATACAATTTAAAGGGGCAGCAAGTCTTTTAAGATCCAATCTGCTAAAATAGTCTTTAACAAGCAATATCTTCCAACGGGCATTGTTCCCAAAAGTCACAGTATGTCCCCAGATGGTTCTTAAAGGGCCAGCAGCAGCATAATAAAATACAATATGCCCAAATACTGTATTTAAAGGGCCAAATCTCCCAGGGGCCATAGTCAGCAGGCAGGAGGCGGGCAAACAGGCTTCTCCAATGCCCAGTGGCGAGGTTGGTTTCGCCACACACTGCACTCAGTCTCCCACTGAACCCAGCCTCCCACAAAACCATCTCCCACTATACCCTGTCTCCCAATGTACCACCTTCCACTGCACCCTGAACCCTGTGTCTGATTGTGCCCAGTGCCCACTGCACCCTATCCCCCACTATACTTTGTCTCCCATTGCACCCTGTCTTCAGTTACACCCTGTCACCCACCAGCTGCCCCCTTTCTGCCTTTGTATACAGTAACCCTTGTTATGCCCTTGTATTCTGTCACCAACCTCTTACTGTATGAGCTTTCTCTTTCTAGAGGTGCCACGGAATGACACCTGCCCAGCGCTCCCTGAAGTGGCGTCCGGCTGGAAGACATCCTCGCACCCAGATTTAATTCGTGGCACAGTGGTGACCTATCAGTGTGAGCCTGGGTATGACATCACTGGCTCAGATATCCTCACCTGCCAATGGGATTTGTCGTGGAGCAACGCCCCACCCACTTGCGAGAAAAGTAAGCCCTGCCCCTACATGTCAGGATAACCATATTTAGTCTCTTATTAGCCATTCCCCTGGCTTTCCTGGGGTTATGGTTATGACATGTTATTGGCATGTTGTGTAACAATATGTCTGTTTCCTGTCTAGTCCTGAACTGTGCGGATCCTGGCGAGATCGGGAATGGTGTGCGACAGGTTTCAGACCCACGGTTCCCCATCAGCTCCCGCGTACAGTATACGTGTAATGAAGGCTATACACTGGAGGGCAGTAAGACACTGACCTGCTATAATCGGGATACTGGGACTCCCAAATGGAGTGACCGCATCCCCAAGTGTGTCTGTGAGTATCACCTGTACAACGTTACTGTGCTTCTATCCCTGGGCACAGCCCAAAGGTAGCCTTATACTAATTATGACCCTCTAAATATAATGCTACGTTATCTGAATGTTTCTATCTTTCAAACATCATGCCTGGCAATTTATTAGAATGGATGATGTACGGCTCATCCATAGCTGGTAGTTTACAAGTAGGAAAATAACTAGCATGGTATCAAGAGTTGGTTAAGCTGTTCATTCAACTTCCCCTTAAACATCTGTATCATAAAATAGCAATAGATGTAGCCTCCAATATCAGCCATACCCAGAGGGTTTCACATTTATAAATCAAGACTAGATTTCTCCAAGTAAATGGTTTATTTTCTCCAATCTGTTACATAAGAAAATGTGGACTTTAAGGCATATGTGAGATTTGATGAAGTATGCTAAAGGTGTCTGGGGGATCCACAATGGGATTCCAGGTTAGAAGTCTAAGAATTCTTGGGTGTGTGGGATTATGGGAGATATCTGATGTGATAATGGGGACATGCTCTAGGATTCTGGGAATTACAGTGGGAAAATGGCGTAGGGGCTAGTCAGTGGGTTCTGGAAGATTTGCTGTAGAATTCTGTGAGATAGACTACTATGTGGGTAATCCGATTATTTGAGTTTTCCGTACCCAGTTACTTAATATTTCGCCCCTGTGAAGAGGCAGAGTGTTCAGACCCCCTACTAGCACGAAGGTCAAGGAATAAAGAAATGGTAGGGCGATCCTTTAGTCCACGTTCCTATAATTAGGAACCCTAATGCCTCCCTCCATGCTGCTGTGGGCCGGTGAGGTAGATCTTTGGTCTCCCCACCGGCCCATGGAGGCTTAGAGCAGAGCCGGCACTCAGATAGCGCCGGCTCTGTGTGTGTGTGTGTGTGTGTGTGTGTGTGTGTGTGTGTGTATATATATATATGCGTACACACACACACTGTCACAGACACATTCAGACACACACACACACACTCACAGACACACATTCACAGACACACACATACACTCACAGACACACATTCACAGACACACACACACACTCACACATACACTCACAGACACACACACACACTCACAGACACACACACACAGACACACACTCACACACTCACACACAGACACACACACACATTCACAGACACACACTCACACAGAGACATTCACTCACACATACACTCACAGACACACACTCACACACACAAGAACAAATTATTATATTTTAATAAAAAAAAAAATGTCCACCCAGCCTCCCTACCTGGAGTGCTGGAGTGGACTTTTCCCTGGGGTCCAGTGGGGCGGGCACCTGTCTGCATCTCAGCCGCGGCGAGGAGCTGTCTGCTCTGTGCTTCCTCTCGCCGCGCGGGCTGTCTGCTGTAGCTGGGAGCCGGAATATGACGTCATATTCCGGCTCCCGGCATCAGCGTGCGGCGAGAGGGAACAGAGAGCAGACAGCTCCCTCGCCGTGGCTGAGATGCAGAGAGGGGGTTATCCATCACCTCTTGCCCTCCCCATGACAAGGGCAAGAGGTGAGACAGGGGGCGCTGAGTGCCTGCAGGAACAGCGTTCCTGCTCAAAAAAAGTGCAGGAAGGCTGTTCCTGCAGGACTCAAACCATAGGCGTGCCATGGGGCCTATGATTTTTTTATAGATAAAACTGAACCCTGAGTTGTAATGCACACAATGGCCACTGAGTGTCGCTGTCGCTTTGATTTATTGTAACTGTATCATCTTTTTAGTGAAGTACGAACCCTGTCTGAACCCGGGGGTCCCAGAAAATGGTTACCAGACCCTCTATAAGCATCATTACCAGGCCGGTGAGGCGCTACGATTCTTCTGCTATGAAGGCTTTGAACTGATTGGGGAGGTCACTATTACCTGTGTACCCGGACACCCTTCCCAGTGGACCAGCCAACCCCCTCTCTGCAAAGGTGAGTGAGAAAGCGGCGTCCAGGTTCAGAATGGCGCATTTCACGCGAGGGGCGTGTGACATCGGGTGATCGGGTGCAGGTCTGAGCATTCTTTCTTATTTAGAGGAACACTCGAAATACCCGAAGAGTCTGGACGGGGTTAGAAAGGGAGGGATTGGGAAGGCTGCAGACAAGAGATCAGCAGATTTGCCAGCTGTTTTTAGATATACCTTCAATGACAAAATGCATCATTAAATGCACGCACGTTTCATTGTGGGTTCACTACTATAATTGGTGAAAACTATTTTTTCTACTGGAGTGTTCCTTTAACATTCACTATATTTGTATGTTTAATATAACTGAATACAATTTGTGGTGCTCGTTTCTTACCGTTCCTCTCTATTTTTCTCTGTACGGTTTCATTATGTTGAAAAATAAAAAATCTACTTTAAAAATTCACTGTCATTATAGCACGTCGCAGTAAGCAGACTGTGGACGCTATACACAGCAGTCTAGAATTAGGGGTGTCATTACATTAACTGTTTCTGTAATAACTTGGGGTAGAACAGTATACCCTATTCTAAGGAAATCAAACACGTTTCTGTCTTGTACGTTTTATGTTTAAATGGACAGGGTACTATGACAGCTTATTGGCTTGTTTGATTTCAAATCTGTGTATTATTAGGTATATTATGATAGCTTATTGTATTATTAAAACTCAGAGTTATATTACAGCTCATTGCATTATAACATGTTATTGTTATATTACAGCCCGGTGTATTATTACAGCTTATTCTGTTATGATAGCTCAGTGTATTATAACAGCTTATTGCATTATTACAGCTCATTGTCAGCTATGATATACTGAGCTGCAGTGGCTATACTGGTTAGTATCCCTTTACATAGAATAGACATTGTATCCTTTAGATTGTAAGCTCTAAGACAATCTAGCTAAGCACTTTGTATAAAAGAGCTCCAATGGCTAGTTATCAGCTTACGGGCATGGCTCTCTCGACCTCTTGTATTTGTCCGTGTATCTTGTCCGTTCTCCACTAATTGTACAGCGCTGCGGAATCTGTTGGCGCTTTATAAATACCAGTAATAAATTAATAAATAAAAAATAAATGGCCTGTTCCCAAAGCTTAGGATAGAGCTGGTATTTTTTTTAAATTCCTAATTAATCATTTAGTGAAATAATTCAGGATTTGTATAGTTATAATATAAAAATCAAAATTCAGCAGTGGTGGAGAAAAGTTTCCAATTCCAGTCACAGATTGGGATTTTTCTTGCGGTTTTTGCTCAGTAATCCTAGTTCTGTATGTTGTATCATTTGGGACCATTGGGATGTATTTACTAAATATTAATGGAAAACATAGGCTCAAATACCCAACATGTGACTGTAGATGAGTTGGAGAAATTGCCTAAATTCTGGGATTTTTCGATCCATTTTAATGTCTGGTTGTGGGAATATTGTGGCCTGACTGCATCTCTCGTTTCCTTGCAGTCGCTTACGAAGAGCTGCTTGACGACAGGAAGCTGGAAGGTTTGCCTAATTAACAGCGGATCATCTGTAAAAATGACACTTTCATTGGACATTCATATTAACAGCAATGTCACCATAACTATATCCTCATTAAAGCCCGCCACCTATCACATTTCATTAGTTACTGTTGTTCAGACATCACTTCCCGTGGGCTGTATCATCACTTCTTGCCACGTCCACCAAACTCGATCACTTCCTGCCACCACATTAAACATCACGCCCTCCCCATCTCAGAGGTTCGTGATCCGCATTACAGCCTATTGGGTGCCGGAGAGAGCCAGGATGCCTGTGATTGGCTCAATAACTTACTTGTTTTCTTTATTTGCTACAGTTACCCAGACAACAGACCCCTCCCACCAGATGGAAGGTGGGAATATTGCGCTGGCGATCTTCCTGCCCATCATATTGGTCATACTTCTGATTGGCGGAATTTACATCTACTACACTAAGTGAGTTGGCCAATGGGAATTGGAACATATGTAAGATGGCATTTTATACATCTGGAAAGTAAATCAATTATAGTGCGGGTCAAATAAGAGAATTCCAAGAAATGGATAATTTAACCAAAAAAATGGCACATTCCAGGAACAATTATATTCTTTAAGATATCGAATACAAATCTTATATTACAAATAAAATAGCCATAAAGTCTATTTGTAAGAAGGATAGGCCTCATGGTGGCATTAATGAGGCCTATCCCAGCTTCACTTTAGGAATAACTTCTGCTTTCTGCTCCTCGGATTGCGGGGTGCACATAGAGGGACCCCTTATTGTCCCAATAAAACAGGAAGCAGCAGTGAGTGAACTCAGATCTGCGCTAGGAACACCAGACTGTTTCCAGGGTTAACAAGGTTCGATCTTAAACCAAAACTTGGAGAGAGTGATGCAATTCCGTCATTGGAAGGGAGAGGAGAGAAAAGGGAAAAATATATAAACCAAAAATATACTGTAATGGACCTCCTGGCACCCCGACTGGGTACCTCCGTCAATCGCTGCTTCCTAGTAATCCTCGAGTACCATAAGCACCGCACACCATAACCATTGTAAACACACAAACCGCTACAGCTTGTTTGGGGTCTCGCTATCCTCCACCCATCCTAGACCCAAGACCAGGATCCAGCTTACAGTGGGTAGACTTCTCCTAGTCCAGAGAGCAAAGCTGGCTGCTCTTACAAGAGCAATTGTTGTGATCCAAGGGAGTATAGTGATTATAGCAATCCCTAGAGTGTGAATATAGCTCTCTAATCCCCCAAACAGGAGCCTGGACTTCATGAATGGTAAAACAAATATCTTTAATGGCAGCCACAACTGACCTTATATGCAGGTCCCCATGCAAGGGGCACTCCCCCCTGGACCTGAGGGTAGACTACAGTAAAAACATACACACAATTACATTGGCTCTCAGGTCCAGGACACTCTCATACAAAATAGGTCAATCCTTCCTCTGTGCCTGAGAGGTAAATGAGTCAGTAACTATACTAAACCCAATTATCTCCAGGCACAAAAAAAAAACACCCAAAAACTCAATTTTTATAAAACCCCCAACATACCTTTAAAACATACAAAACTCCCACAAAAGTTACATCCCCTGACAGCCCCGATCTGGGTGACCAACATATCCAAAAATCACCCAGATCGGTTCAGGAATTTCATGGTCCCATGCCAAAAATAGTTCCATAGAATCGCGGCTATGTGCGCTGGGAATGTAAAAGCAAAAATATACACACACTAATATGAATAAATAAATACGTAAAAAAGCGTGATCCCAAGTGTCCTTCACACACACCAAATGCAATACAAGAAAGTGGGAAAACACCAATACGTATAAAAAGAATTATAACCACCTGTAAAAGGTAGGATATTGAAAGATCCTAGAAGTCATTGGGATCTATAAAAACCAATAATACAACATGTTGTTGTATTATAAATTCCAGTGACTTCTAGGATCTATCAATATCTTACCGGGAACCACAACGTTTTCATGCCGAAAATAGTGCTTTCGCGGATAAGTCCCCCTGAAGTCTATTCGCGGTTTTGTTCAACGCGAGCGTTTGGTTCTATGCGCACAAATGGGAAGTGCCAAACCAGGGGGAATAAAATATGGGTCTTTACAGTCGCTGACCTGGCCCATAGTCGATGGGCAGGAGGCCGGCTTCCACAGCGCCGTTTGTCAGGTATACTACATGTCCCCACACAAAATAGCTATCGTATAATGAGCAGTTATTTAAAGGGAAATAATTGCTTCTCAGGATTTTTTATATATATATATATATATATATATATATATATATATATATATATATATATATACACATATACATATATACATATACATATATATATATATATATATACACATATACATATATACATATACACATATACATATATACATATACACACACACACACACTTACTCGTCTTCCATATATATCAAATATGTATCTGCGAGGTGTGAAAAATAAAATAAAATGTAGAAATCCGCAGCAGTATCATTTCTCCTCGTCTCTGTATGCTCTCCCTGTGATGACTGCCGGTCGCAAAGGACTATCAGGGAGCTAAGATGGAGAGCTGTGGCTTTCTAAATTTAAATTTCTCACACCTCACTACATATTTATTAAATATAGGGGGCGGAGGAAATATATAAAAAAAATCCTGAGAAGAGATTGTTTCCCTTTAAATAACTGCCCATTAGACGATAACTATTTTGTGTGGGGACATATAGTATATTTGTTTGTCTCATAGATTTTTTCCTTTCCTCTCCTCCGCCTTCCAATGATTGAATTGCAGCACAGAATAAGAACGTGCGAAGTGCTGTGAATAATTTAGTCATACTGTTATAGACTGACAAAGAATGATGGGAGTTGTATTACAACTGCATGAAGGAGGGTGCATTTCAGACCTCCCCCCCATGATGTATGCAAAGGATCTGCACAGAGTATGGGGTGATATTGTGACGGGGGTGCTGGCCTGGCTGCCAGGGGTGAGAGATTGTCACCATGTCTGCCACTGACCATCATATTTTACATTATCTCAGATTTCAGGGCAAATCACTCTTCGGATTTTCATTCCCAGCATCCCATTCGTACAGTCCAATCACAGTGGAATCAGATTTCAACAACCCATTATATGAGGCTGGGGTAAGTAGTGTGCTGTCAGTGCCAGGCTGTAGGTGTGCCCATGCAGGAGACAATATTGACTGCGAGTGGCTGGCTGCCACAGATGGTGGTAGGAAAGTGGGAATGGAATGAAATCTAGCGTGTGCCATGGGTTCTGCTGCATATTTCATTAACCAGGTGGCAAAGAGTTCTCCATACAAGAATACTATGTCCAGCACTGAACAGTTAAGGAGCCACACATTGCAGTCTGTATAGATATACAAGATCATTATTCTAACCCTGTCAGTGGCTTGTTGCTCTCATTGAGAGGGTTTAAAGTCCGACTTTAGAGCTAAATGATAAATATTATGTAGAGTCTGGGACAAATTTTTCTACACAACTTTCACTATAGTCAAATCTAGGCTCTGCGCGCGGGATGGCCAGTGGGTGCATGCACAGCCAGTATAAAACCAAAATACACAGTCAGTACCCAGGATATTAACAAGAGTTATAGTAGACAGGAGTAGCTGAAGGGAAAGATTAGCTGATTTAGAGTGTTTCCGCTATTTTCACCTTAAATTCGAATTTCACGATGAATTCTCACCTTGATGAATAGCCCCGTATGTGTGCTAGCGTTTAGCAGCTTTGGTTCTCCAAACGTTGAGAGTGTCATTCAGCCACCTGATTGGGCATTTTTCTAGTTTGGAGCAGAACGGGCTGGATCTCCAATAGTAAAGTACCCAGCCACGTAGAACCCTGAACTTACCTCGAGTTGAGCTGGGATGTCCTGCATGTGATTGGAAAGGCAGGATTTGCCAGTTACCTGCACATTTTAAACATCTGCCCTCCTTTCTTGCAGGATACACGGGAGTACGAAGTGTCAATCTGAAGTGGATGTGGTTTCTGGGTATTGGGGAGGGGTGGGTGGGACCGGGCCTACGCGGAATATATCAGATTATGGGTCTTTATTTACAGATTACCACTACAAGCTACACAATCCCTCACCCTGCGATCGTCCAGTACCCATCAGAATGTGACCTTCCATCACGCATCGTGTGACCTTTCACCTTTGTAAAATGTCATTTGTGCCAAAGTTACACTGTAACATCTGCTCAAGAGATTGAAGAATTCCCTGAATTACATCCTCCATTTTAAATGGACTTTTAGATTATTGCCCACGTTACACATTAAGCAGCCAGTGGCCGGCAGAGCATTGCTTTTCATACCCCCAGCCTTGCCAGGAAACAAGAATAACCATTAACCCCCAGTAAGGCTCCTTGATGATATCACTCCTGTACTTCCTCCCCTGCAGAGCAATGTACTTTGCAGAGCATTATACTATTAAACCCACTCCTATCAGAGAAGAGCAAAGTGATTGCTCAGCTGCAAATTCCCCAACACCATTTCCTGTCTTTACGTGAAGTCACTTTTCTTAGGAGATTTAAAGATGGCCACCAGGCTGCAGACCCTTGTAGGGCAACAGTATCAGGCATGTTTGAATTTCCACTCCATCTGTCTGCGTCAAACCCAGCACCACTTCCAAACTGGCTTTATTTTCAGGCAATAAAGAGTGAGATTTGTAATATAGTGTCTTGTGTTCTTTATACCTCACTATTACAACTGCAAAAACAAGCCCCAAATATACAAAAAAAAGAAACAAACTAGTTTATTTACCTTAATATAAAAAAAAAAAAGTTATAGAATGAGGGTAGGGGAGACCCTAATGGGAATTGGCAAAGTGGCGCTGGTTGATGGATAGGGGGCTACATTCTTGCTTCGCAACTGGTGAGTGAATAACGGCTGGACATTTGGGCTGCAGCACCTGCTCAGAATCCACCTGTCCTTTGGCAAGCTGGCCAAGAATTTCATCCACCTACAAGGGGCACAAAGAGCATTTGGTCACTCAAGACAGCAAGTCACAAGCAGTCAATGCTGCTCTCTTTCTGTATAATCAAAATCAATGTGCTCTAATTACGTCACCAATAGTCACTGTAAACAAAGTAATATCCAGTGGACCGGACACTACGGGTTGTCCTCCCCCATCACACCAAGCACTGGGGCCTAGGGGATGTCCTCCCCCATCACACCAAGCACTGGGGCCTAGGGGATGTCCTCCCCCATCACACCAAGCACTGGGGCCTACGGGATGTCCTCCCCCATCACACCAAGCACTGGGGCCTAGGGGATGTCCTCCCCCATCACACCAAGCACTGGGGCCTAGGGGATGTCCTCCCCCATCACACCAAGCACTGGGGCCTAGGGGATGTCCTCCCCCATCACACCAAGCACTGGGGCCTAGGGGATGTCCTCCCCCATCACACCAAGCATTGGGGCCTAGGGGATGTCCTCCCCCATCACACCAAGCACTGGGGCCTACGGGATGTCCTCCCCCATCACACCAAGCACTGGGGCCTACGGGATGTCCTCCCCCATCACACCAAGCATTGGGTCCTACGGGATGTCCTCCCCCATCACACCAAGCATTGGGTCCTACGGGATGTCCTCCCCCATCACACCAAGCACTGGGGCCTACGGGATGTCCTCCCCCATCACACCAAGCACTGGGGCCTAGGGGATGTCCTCCCCCATCACACCAAGCACTGGGGCCTAGGGGATGTCCTCCCCCATCACACCAAGCACTGGGGCCTAGGGGATGTCCTCCCCCATCACACCAAGCACTGGGGCCTAGGGGATGTCCTCCCCCATCACACCAAGCATTGGGGCCTAGGGGATGTCCTCCCCCATCACACCAAGCACTGGGGCCTACGGGATGTCCTCCCCCATCACACCAAGCACTGGGGCCTACGGGATGTCCTCCCCCATCACACCAAGCATTGGGTCCTACGGGATGTCCTCCCCCATCACACCAAGCATTGGGTCCTACGGGATGTCCTCCCCCATCACACCAAGTATGGGCATATATGTTTTTCCCCCTAATATCCAATTTTAGCTATACCAACATTCAATCATCCTTCCACAAAGGGCAGACACATTGTTCTTTTTCTCCTCCTCCAAAGTAGAGGCTGCTTTTGTGTCTTTCTCCAACTCCAAGAAGACAAACTACACATATTCCAACTCTACCAGCTGCATCTGAAATATCCAACAGTTGAATCCTATCTGCCCTTAGATACCCCATCTGAAATACCACAATATTTGGAGATAACATATCTTCCGACAATCACGGTTACTTTCAGGCCCAGACGTCATGTAATTATTAAATAGATCATATAATTTTCTATATCTCAACACAGCTGCTTGGGGATTTACATTTTAGATGGAGAAAAAAAAAAAAAAAAGTCTATTCCCAAATCCCAGCTGTAAAATGAACCTGTGGTTGGCCTTACCTTCCGAGCATAGGCTGGATCTTCTCTAGGCTGGAATTTGCCAGATTTATTTCGATTTCGGCAAATACTGCAAAAAGGAAGACAGACGTATATCATGACAGCCACCAGGACAGCTTAATCCAAGATGAAAGGGGCACTTACCGTGTGGGCCACAGATAACTACTTACCTAACAGAGGAGGTTTTACCATGTGTGGTAGGTGGGCAATTCTCATCTGAAAAAGACTCAAAGTGTTAGAAAACACATTTATAAATGACCTACATTATATAAAAGTTTTCCATATACAGTGGGTGAGTAGATACTTGGCATTCTACTATTTTTGCAGTTCAGCTCTGAATTCTTTTCATGTGGCCAGCAGGGGGCACTCTTAGCTGTTGCGAGATTTGCTTTACGTTTATATAATAAGACATGTCTGGGTCAGTACCTTGATTGACGGACTCTTTTCCCAGACGAGATTCCTTCTCGTTGTTCCTGCGTAAAATACAAGATACAAAGGGTTGAGGTCCCCAACTAACATACAATCTCAGTATATACTGCGGTAGTGTAAAGGCAATGATTACTCATTAAGGATTTACCAATTCTGGGTGTGACTGCAGCAGGGTCACAAAATATAAGAATATGCGAATCTTAAAGACCCAAAGGCTAAAGCATTCATTTAACAGAGCAGGAAAAAGTCACCAACTCTTATCTTGCAAACTCTGGTATTTTGACTCAACACTTGCAACTTCATGGTCAATTCTACGTAATCACCGATTTAGAGACAGATAACCCCCATGTTAATGGCTTCAACTTCCAGAATTATTTGAGTGCAATAGATGGCATTTGTAGTTTGGCAAAACCTGGTGGGGGGGGAGGAGGGGGGGGCAGGGGTGCACACAGAGATGCCTGGCCTAGTGTTTTGTTTTTTTTTTTAAAACCAACATTCTGATATAAAATGAACACTATGAAAACTAGATTCAGTCTCATGAAATGCCATGGACATAACACATTCTGAATATTACAGAGAATATTAAAAGGGAAACAGGTTTTAAGTTTATACTGCAGAAGTGTGTACGTGGCCAAAAGATGGGCAACCGTTCTGAGAAGTTGATTTGGCCATTTCATCCACACGTCCGTGCAAGCTCCTTAGACTCATTAGCAGTAGAATGGCTCATATTGGTGAGCTCCAGGATTTAGAACGGGGCACAATGATAGGAGGTCACCACCCCAACCAAATGGTCAAAGTTATCACTAGCCTGACCAGGTCGAGCCAAGTGAATTCCAGGTATTGTGGAAAGGTCTAATGTCTAGGATTAAACAGAGGTTTGTCTGACCTTTCCAGGCACTCCCCGCAGATTCTATTATCTTCGAAGTTGGGGGGAACAGGTAAAGATGAAGGTGTCAAATGCAGCGGTACAAACGTGTCATCAGTGGCCATACCAACATGGCCGCAGCGGAGGGACAGTTGAATCCATTTCGATGTGGTTAATAGATGCCCATGGACGACACACCAACACTGGCGCTCTGCAAGATAAAGTATGACATTAACACCCCAATCCTGAAATATAAAGTACGGACCCAGATAATGCAGCCTCTACATTCCTGAAACAGTATTTATTGATTACATGCGAAAGAAGTCCTAACATCCCAATTGCTTCTATTCTGGGGACGGCCTTCTAGGCTTCATTTCCATAATCTGCCATTAATTTACATTTCCTGCCCGTAACAGACAGCCTCGGATTAGTACCTTGATTGGTCGACTCTTGCAGCAGACGAGATTCCTTTTCCTTATTCCTGATAAAAGAGGAAAATAGAGAGGATTGAGTCTCATATACACATCAGGAAGAAAGCAATGTTTATTCAGAAATTATTTTATTAGGAATATATTATTATATGTTACTATGCTTAAAATAAAGTTGTAATTTCATACAGCACTGCCTCAAAGCAGAAATGTCCATGCATCAAGGCAAGTGTAGTTTTCCAGTACCTGCAGTGAGATGCCCAGGAGGTAGATCCCAGATCCGCATATTAAATGCTAGCTAAGCATCATGGGAATTGTAGTTTCCAAACATCTGAGGAAACTACCTTTTTAGGTGTCTCTGACCTGCTGAAACAATGTAATATGAATTTTCACTAGGCCATTAAAACCTATTCCTGCTCAGTTATTTTGGCCTCCATTTTGTAATTTCCAAGTTGTTCCCAGTTTAGCAAATAACCAAGCTGGTACAAAATAATAAAATAAAAAGATGAAGGCTCTGACCTCTCCAGGCATTCCCCACAAATAATATTATCCTCAAAGCCATGGGGAACGGGTAAAGATGAGGGTGTCAGGTGCAGGGGGACAAATGAGCCTCCGATGGTCACACCAAGACGACCACGGCAGGGAGACAGTTTTATCCCGGTAGACGAAGTGAATTGCTGTCCATGTACTACACACCACCACTGGCGCTCTGCAAGACAACGTATCACACCACATTAATCTGAGAATATCAACATTAAATAAACAATTCAGCTATTTAAATTACAAATGTCTTGGGTTATTTTTGGCGTAGAAAAAAAACAAAAACAAAAAAACACAACTACAACTGGTAGGATCGGTGCACATATTGTATTTGTATGTCACACATCACACAGCCGAATCCTGGTGGACCCATACACATCACACAGCCGGTTCCTGGTGGACCCATACACATCACACAGCCGGTTCCTGGTGGACCCATACACATCACACAGCCGGTTCCTGGTGGACCCATACACATCACACAGCCGGTTCCTGGTGGACCCTTACACATCACACAGCCGGTTCCTGGTGGACCCATACACATCACACAGCCGGTTCCTGGTGGATCCATACACATCACACAGCCGGTTCCTGGTGGATCCACACACATCACACAGCCGGTTCCTGGTGGATCCACACACATCACACAGCCGGTTCCTGGTGGATCCACACACATCACACAGCCGGTTCCTGGTGGATCCACACACATCACACAGCCGGTTCCTGGTGGATCCACACACATCACACAGCCGGTTCCTGGTGGATCCACACACATCACACAGCCGGTTCCTGGTGGATCCACACACATCACACAGCCGGTTCCTGGTGGATCCATACACATCATACAGCCGGTTCCTGGTGGATCCACACACATGCAAATATGTTAAAACGTCTGCCTTCAATCCAAAAGGAAAGGTGGCCTCAACACTCAGGCAGTTAAGTCCACATCTAGGCCACCATTGTCTCGCTTTATTCAGGAAATGGCAGACCCAGCACAGCTGCCTCCACATACACGAGTTCCGTATAGTGACAAAGCTGTGATAGAAGTTAACAGAAACTCATTTTTATACAAATAAAAAACACCCCAACAAATACCCTAATTACAGGTGGATGTTCATTACACAGTAGCCAGGTTTATCGTATTGTTAATCTATGGCCCATTAAGGGCTCACCCCGGCGCGGTTTGCGTGCCAGATAAACCATAGACAGGCTGCAGGAAACATTGGCCTCCATTTAATATTTTTGGATAAGCTTTGCAATAATCCCAGTATGTTAGAGAAACCTTTCAGAATGATTTATCTACAGGTCACCATTAAAGTCTATGAGAATGTTTGTGGATAAATCATTTCAAAAGATTATCCAAAATATTACAGCGAGACCAGAGTTTATATTTTTCTAATTTTTGTTCTTATGACGCATTACACCAGCAGCCTGCAGGGGGAGCCCTACAGAACAAACCAGATATTGAATGCGATCAAATTCTGAATAAAACAGTCTATATGTTTTATCAGACAATACACAGTCCACATTAACCATCAGACAGCCTCACTCTTCCTCGGGGGGCCTGACAGACAGGGCCTCACTTCTCTTTAACCCTTTTTATCCCAATATGTAATTTCTGTGCTGTACGTGAGTCTAGCAGCGAATGCCATTTAGTTGGTATGTGATGTTTATGAACCCCCGAGTGTCCCTATTTAGGAGGGACAGACCCTATTTTTGGCCGAAACCCCCTCTGTTCTATCCTAATGTCTCTTTTCTAGGAGCTCCATATTCTTGGAGTGTCTGAGTGTGTAACAGAGCTCCACAGCAATAATACTCCAAGTAATGTGTCTCAGTGTATAACAGAGCTCCACAGCAATAATACTCCCAGTAATGTGTCTGAGTGTATAACAGAGCTCCACAGTAATAATACTCCCAGTAATGTGTCTGGGTGTATAACAGAGCTCCACAGCAATAATACTCCTAGTAATGTGTCTGAGTGTATAACAGAGCTCCACAGCAATAATATTCCCAGTAATGTGTCTGAGTGTATAACAGAGCTCCGCAGCAATAATATTCCCAGTAATGTGTCTGAGTGTATAACAGAGCTCCACAGCAATAATACTCCCAGTAATGTGTCTGTGTGTATAACAGAGCTCCACAGTAATAATACTCCCAGTAATGTGTCTGTGTGTATAACAGAGCTCCACAGTAATAATACTCCCAGTAATGTGTCTGTGTGTATAACAGAGCTCCATAGTAATAATACTCCCAGTAATGTGTCTAGAAAATGGTCTGTGTAAATAAGATACATTGTTCTTGTTTTAAGTTTTATAACACCCCTAAAATGCATTTGAAATATTGGGAGGTATGTGACAGGGAGAAGGACATTACTAGATGGTGGGGGGAGAGGGGGTTTGACATATAAAAACTCAGCATCCATCAGATCACAGACCCAGCGAGTACTGTCTACCTCACACCAAGTTAGACAGAATATGGTGTGTCCAAGGTCAGCACATAGAGGCAGATAAACAGAAGCCAAGGTGAATAGAGCGCAAAGCACCATGTCCGCTCCTTGTAACATTTACACAATGTCTCTTGCTGACAGGCTCTGTAAGTAGTATTAAACCGAGCACTCTGTGAAAGTGGCACCCCACCCCCTGTCAGCCCCAGCAAAGGGGGCAACACCACCCAGACTAGTGAAAGGGTTAGGGGCCTCCCAGCAGCGGGCAGTATGGACTTCTCATTTCTATAAATCTAGATCCAGCTGATCAGAGAACGAGGCCGGCTAATACGGGTCACTAGAAGATGCTCATAGAAGGCAGAATTGCAGCATGGAGACCATGCAGCGTCTCTTACAGCAGCACCGACTGCATGTGTGAAAAGATATATTCATATCAGTGCATCCTCTGCTCCAACCCTAAAAATAGACCCTGCACACGCAGCATCTGCAGCGACATCACTGGGTTACCACGGCAACTGCTGTGAGCTCACCAGCTGTGACATCACCAATGGCAGAGGAGAAGGAGTAACAGATAGGCTGCCAAGGAGAAGCACATAATGCACCCCAAAATAAAACCTAATCTCTGCACCATGACTGGAGGGATCCTTTAACCCATTTAGTGCTGGAGAGACTAAAATAGTTAACTATAGGACTGTCATCAATGACCCAGGCATTGGCCGCTCTATGACCAAGATACGGGGCCCTGGCTGCAAGGGAGGGATTGGCCACTCTCTGACCGAGATACAGGGCCTTAACGGAGGGATTGGCCGCTCTCTGACCAAGATACGGGGCCGTGGCTGCAAGGGAGGGATTGGCTGCTCCATGACTGAGATACGGGGCCGTAACGGAGGGATTGGCCACTCTTTGACCAAGATACAGGGCCGTGACGGAGGGATTGGCCACTCTCTATCCAAGATACGGGGCCGTAGGCTGTAATGGAGGGATTGGCCGCCCCATGACAGAGATACGGGGCCATAGGCTGTAATGGAGGGATTGGCCGCCCCATGACAGAGATACGGGGCCGTGGGCTGTAACGGAGGGATTGGCCACTCTCTAAACCGAGATACGGGGCTGTGGGCTGTAATGGAGGGATTGGCCACTTTAAGACAGAGATAAACCTGCAGTTACAGATGAAAAGACTTGTAATGTTCCAGATAATTTTAGGGGAAATGAATGACAACAAGTAACCAGCGTTAACCTTGTCCCATAGACCTGGCTGACAGGATATCTCGTAATATCAGTGAGAGGTTTCATGTTGGGCCACTGCGTATTCTGTGCACTAGCTCCACTGACAGCCACGTTGGGCACTTTGCACTTACCCCCATGTTTAACGTGAACCTCCGGTTCTGCTTAGTTACCTGTTTTCTCCTTAGCAGGGAGACGTCCACTCTTTTCTTGGGAAGCGGCTCTGGGAGACACCTTTTAATACAAAAATAATTAAGCAGATATGGTTAAAAAACACAAAAACAAACCCCTATAGTCTCTCATGCCAACAGGCCACCATAACACTAGTGAATTGAGTTAACACACACGCTTACCTTGCAGCAAATATATTAGTGACTTTATTGCCTAGGAGCTTTGTTTACAGACTCAGCACATTATTGGGAGTTTTATTGCTTTGGAGCTCTGTGACACACACAGGCAGCACTGTCTGATTTTGTTCCCCGGTGTCCCACATCCAAGGACACCAGATAACTGGCCCCAGACAATCGCATTATTATTAGTAGGGCCAGTCATCAGCCTTTCGAGGCTCATGCAAGGTTGACATGCCGCTTCTCCAGTGCAAGTGGTGTCACTGGCACACCCCTCCATGCCCATTTCCGTACCTTGCAGAAGTGGGAGGTATGTACTCACTGCACATTACTGTGAGTTTTATTGCTGTGGAGCTCTGTGATATTCACCTGAACAGTTAATCCGGTCTGCTTAAGATGATCCTGGAGCCGTTGAAGTAGTTCAGAATTCTGCGCAGTAGGAGGAAAAGACAAAGTTATTTTACATTATAAACTCCATCCACAGAACTTACAAATATCTCGGATTGCGAAATGGACCTAGGATGAGCCCCCGCACCTTTCCTCCCCCACCTAATCCTAGCCGCTTGCAGTACTGCTGCAGCTGGGCCCTCTTCAGAAGATGCAGGGAGGAGGGGGTTAAATCCAGTTGTGGTAGTGGTGCGGCCTTCGGTTTATGAATAGGCATGGTGCTGCAGCGTGTCGCCATCGAGCGGCTCCTGCGGAGAGAGGCATATCATTGCACCCTACGATCCATTCTTAGACGGCAGAATAGCTCAACCATGACCATAACAACATTAATAAACTGCAGAGCATTGCACCCTGTTAGCTAGTCTTGGTATGCAGAACATGTAATCTACAATAACTTTATTACCCAACAGAGGATTGCACACGATCATCAATTAATAGGTTACAAATTATGTAATCAGTCTGCAGAGCATTGCACCCTGTGATATAGTCTAAGATTGCAGAATATCTCACCCACAATTGCATGAATATCTTGCAGAGCATTGCACCATTAAGTCTATTCCTAGCCTGTAAAATAAGCAATCCAATCACTTAATCTGCAGACCATCGCAAACTCTTTTTTTAACCTGTATAATAGCTCATCCCCAATAACAATAATTTGACTGTACTAGAAGTCATCAAAACATGCAGGCACTGATCTAGTGTTAACCCCCATGTCATCTATTCCTGGTTGTCAGTACCTCAGCCCTAATAATGTTAAAACACTGCAGAGCATCACACCCAGTGGTCTATTTCTAACCAGCAGATCATTGCACCATGTCAGAGTATCTCATCTCTAATAACATTAAAACGCTGCAGAGAATCACACCCGGTCTATTTTTAACCAGCAGAATATTTCACCATTTGGTCTACTCTTAGCACGGACAATGTTGCATCCCCAATACCGTTAAACACCTGCAGAGCATTGCATCCACGGCCAAGCCTCCAAAGTCAAACCTGGAGATTAATAAACTTAAATCAGAAAAATGTCTAAGTCAGTCAAGCTTCCATGTCTGCTACTATGGCCTTAAATGTGAAATGTACTTTTAATTCCCATCAATTCTGACTTTAGTAAATCATTTTCCATCATTAACCCACAGCCCAATCACATGATGCTCCATGAGCTGGGGGCTTTATAACACACACTGCACCCCATACCTGCACACTGTGTGTCTCACCTGGGGACACACCCAAAACATGACTGAGCTCAGCAGGGGAATATCACATTGCCTAATTTAGCAATAGCCAATCACAGGGCAGCACCAAGGGTCACTGGCTAAGACATTTAACTCCTTAATTGACCTTGAGGCATATGCCGCCATTAACATCTTAATACGATGAGCTTTAAAAAAAAAAAAAAAAATTATATGTATGAACAATGTGATTTTTGTGAATATATTAAAATTATACAAATGTGACCAGTTATAATTTTTGGTTCATTTGCTCATTGTTTGCATAAATATTGAGGGATTAAAACGTTGAGTGGTTTGTGGTGCCCTTTATCCTGCAATATTGCAGACTGCTAGGGTTATTTACTAAGGTGAGAATTCAAAGTGCAAACATTCTCCAAGTCAGCAGCTTTTTTATTCAGCAAATTTGGTCTAAAATGTAAAAGTCACTTTGACCCCGTGGGGGCTATAATATAGCATAGCGGATGAACACGCCATTTTAACACAGACAGGCCATGTAAAAATAAGACACAAACTGCCAAAACCATTGTATCACTCCCTTCCATGGCCTCAATTCAATGTTTTTGGATACACTTTTCATATGATCACAATCTGTTAGAAAAGCTTTTCAAATCACCATTAAAGTGACACTTCAGTCACCAGAACAACTACAGCTTGTTGTATAGTATACAGCTAACTCTATTTGTTTTGGTGAGTAGAATCATTCCATTCAGACTTTTTGCTGTAAACACTTTGTTTTCAGAGAAAATGCAGTGTTTACATTACAGCCTAGGGATATCTCCACTGGCCAGTCCTCAAATGGCTACTAAAGGTGCTTCCTGGGGCAGTGCTGCACAGTGTGACTGACATTCAGTGTCTCCACCATCTGCATGGAGACACTGAATTTTCCTCATAGAGATGCATTGACTCTACGAGGATTAGCCAGGACTGTGTTTGGCTCTGCCTTCTTGACAGTCTCAGCCAATCCTATTGGAAAGCATTTTGATTGGCTTAGAACAACACTTTTGATGAGGTAAGCCAAGTAGGCAGATCAGGGTCAGAGCCTGCAGCTGCAGATTTGAACAAAAGTAAGATTTTACTATATTTAGGTGGAAAAAAGGGGGCTAGATGGAGGTTTTAACACTATAGGATCAGGAATACACGTTTGTGTTCCTAATCCTAAAGTGTTCCTTTAAAGTATATGATCATTTTTGGAGATAAATCAAGTTTTTCTAATAGACTGTGATCGTTTGAAATGAGAATCTAAATTAATTTTATCAAAGTCACTGTGTTATCATATCGCTCAGACGGTCACTCGATCACATTGAATGCTATTGGATCACTGTGTTATTAGATCTGACTGTTACTATATCACTGTCTACACCAATCGGATTGCTACTAAATCACTGTGTTATCAGATCACTCAGACCGTCACTAGGTAACTATGAATATTACTAGATCACTCTGAATGTTACCCTGTTATAAGACACAGACTGTTTCTATGTGATTCTGAAAGTCACTATGTCACCCCAATACTAGGTCACCCAGACTGTTCGTTGCATGCTGTCATTTCATGTCCTGGCTGTCTGTATATAGGTTATTGATCACATTATATTTCTCTATTATAGATTTTCTGGGTTACTGCCTTGCTGACAATGGATGGAGGGATGGCGGTGTCTTTAATGATGGGATTGTGATTATTAACAGGTCTGTGAGCAGAATCTCATCCAGCCGTGCGTGAATCACCCAGTGACGGTGACACACAATGTGTGGGTTTCTGTAAGAGAGAAGGCATTCACACCCGATTGTCATCTCAAGGATTGGAACATGTGATTTAAACTACCTGTTTACTAAAGTGACTATATGAGACTGTCACACTTTATCCAAAAAACAGACACCGTTCAATAAAGACATGGAAACGGACCGTTCTGTTTGTGTTGTTTACTCAGGTTCTCTTTGTCGATTTGTAGTATTGTGAAACAAAACAATTGCTGGTGAGTAAGATTTTTAAGAACACCCTTAGTGATAATATGTAGCAAAAGTGCTCTCTGTGTGTATATATACCAAATAGTAAGATGATATCAACCCACAATGTAACACATGTGTATATACTTGCAACTCCGTAAGTATACACTGGTGGTATCTAAAAATGGGAGACAAAAAGAAAACAGATAGCACTCCGAGTGCAATAAAGTTACAAAATATAAAAATATATATAAAACCTCTGTAGGTATTAAACTCGCAGGTTGAGATTGCTTATAGTCCCACTCAAAGCTATAACTCCCAGGGAGGAGCAGTCCCTGGAGTACGTGGGATCCAACAGATGCTCTGGTGACCCGGGTTGCAGGTAAAAAACTTATTATTTTATTCCAAGCATTAAAAACACGTATAGCAGCAAAATAAGTCCACCGTCTGCTCACCAGCCCTCTGGTAGTGAAGGACAGTTAGGATATAGCCGCTGTCCTTCTCCTTACTAACGTGGCTGTTTTCGCCGGTGTGCAAACTTCAAACACCTCCGTGTCCCTGGTCCCGTGACGCGTTTCGCCCCTCCTCCTTGGGCTTTCTCAAACGAGCACTTTTGCTACATATCATCATTAACCCCTTAAGGACACATGATGGAAATATTCCGTCACAATTCCCTTTTATTCCAGAAGTTGTGTCCTTAAGGGGTTAAGGGTGTTTTTGAACATCTTGCACACCAGCACTTTTTTTGTTTCACTGTTTTAATCTTATTACCACGATTCTAGGTTGGCTGCTGCAAATAATATTGAACTTTGTTTTATGTATTGTACATTTCTGCGCTATCTTATTTATAGACCTGTGTATTGTATTTATAGATCAGATGACTTCCAGGTCAAATTGGTTCAGAAATACAGATACTAATGATGAGTTCTCAAACATTGATCTCATCACGACTGCTGGACTTTGTATCAGATTTTATCTTTAGAAATGGACACACATCTACAATCATGCATCGGCACCTACACACAGATACCTATACACACGCACACAGACAGAGATAGATACACAGATTGATGCATACAACATGACTACAGACATTTGGTGGGATGGTCATTCATTCAGCCCAGCCAGATATAAATGACCACAACTTATCCAGGGTAGCATTTGCCCTGGTGCTCCCACCCTGGATATACCCCTGTGTGACTGGCAAATACCCCTGTGTTATGGAAAGGAAACTGTTAAATAATAAAATAACAAATAAAGATGTAATCTGTATTACTTTCATAATAACCACACATCCCTTGCATAAATTTACCAGAGCCAGATGATAAGGATGCCAGGCGGGATCCCTGCTGTATAGCTTAGTCCAATCACCCTCTCTGGGAGCAATAACAAGTCCAATCACCCTCTCTGGGAGCAATAACAAGTCCAATCACCCTCTCTGTGGGTAAGAACAAGTGCTATCACCATCTCTGAGGGGAATAACAAGTCCAATTACCCTCTCTGGGGGCAATAACAAGTCCAATTACCATCTCTGGGGGCAATAACAAGTCCAATCACTCTCTCTGGGGGTAATAACAAGTCCAATCAACCCCTCTGGGGGCAATAACAAGTCCAATTACCCTCTCTGGGAGCAATAAATCAAATTACCCTCTCTGGGGGCATTAACAAGTCCAATCACCCTCTCTTGGGGTAATAACAAATCCAGTTACCCACTTAGGGGGCAATAACAAGTCCAATTACCCTCTCTGGGAGCAATACCAAGTCCAATCACCCTCTATGGGGGTAATAACAATTCCAGTTACCCTCTCTGAGGGCAATAACAAGTCCAATCACCCTATTTGGGGGCAATAACAGGTCCAATTACCCTCTCAAGGGGTAACATGTCCAATCACCCTCTCTGGGGGCAGTAAACACTGGGGGAGGAAGAGGGTAGTAACACAGAGGCAGACAGGTATGTAAGAATTATGGCTGGGGTAGCTAGATTTCCACTTCCTAAAATGTGTTATTTCTTTATCCATTATCACAGTGTAATGAATGCCCAGAGACAAATCAGGGCCCATCCATATCTAACCAAATGAGTCTGGATCATGTGTCTTCTAACTCTGACATCATAACTGTACCCAGAATGCATCTCTGCATTACTCTGACATCATAACTGTACCCAGAATGCATCTCTGCATTACTCTGACATCATAACTGTACCCAGAATACCTTTCTCACTCTGGGTAGTGATACATTGTATAGCTGTCTAATGAGAGCAGGTAGTGATACATTGTATAGCTGTCTAATGAGAGCAGGTAGTGATACATTGTATAGCTGTCTAATGAGAGCAGGTAGTGATACATTGTATAGCTGTCTAATGAGAGCAGGTAGTGATACATTGTATAGCTGTCTAATGAGAGCAGGTAGTGATACATTGTATAGCTGTCTAATGAGAGCAGGTAGTGATACATTGTATAGCTGTCTAATGAGAGCAGGTAGTGATACATTGTATAGCTGTCTAATGAGAGCAGGTAGTGATACATTGTATAGCTGTCTAATGAGAGCAGGGTAGTGACACATTGTATAGCTGTCTAATGAGAGCAGGTAGTGATACATTGTATAGCTGTCTAATGAGAGCAGGGTAGTGATACATTGTATAGCTGTCTAATGAGAGCAGGTAGTGATACATTGTATAGCTGTCTAATGAGAGCAGTGGCAGTGATACATTGTATAGCCGTCTAATGACATATATGATACATTGTATAGCTGCCCACGTGAAGCGGCAGCGATACAATGTGCTGTCTAATGTGAAGGCAGTAGTGATACATTGTATAAAGGCCAGTTCAATGAGAGCAGGTAGTGATATTACTGTATAGCTTCTGCCCAATGTGGTTGGGTGGGTAGTGGATGTATTACTGTATAGTTGTTCAATGAGGAAGGTGTAGCATACATTGTATAGCTGTTCAATGAGAAGTTGGTGGTAGTGATACATTGTATAGCTGTCTAATGAGAGCATGTATTGATACATTGTATAGCTGTCTAATGAGAGCGCAGTAGCGCATACTGTATAGCTGTCTAATGAGAGCAGGTGGTGATACATTGCATAGTCAATTAATGAGCAGCAGGTAGTGATACATCAGGCAATGCCCAAATTGTATGCAGTAGTGATACATTGTATAGCTGTCTAATGAGAGCAGGTAGTGATACATTGTATAGCTGTGTAATGAGAGCAGGTAGTGATACATTGTATAGCTGTCTAATGAGAGCAGGTAGTGATACATTGTATAGCTGTCTAATGAGAGCAGGTAGTGATACATTGTATAGCTGTCTAATGAGAGCAGGTAGTGATACATTGTATAGCTGTCTAATGAGAGCAGGTAGTGATACATTGTATAGCTGTCTAATGAGAGCAGGTAGTGATACATTGTATAGCTGTCTAATGAGAGCAGGTAGTGATACATTGTATAGCTGTCTAATGAGAGCAGGTAGTGATACATTGTATAGCTGTCTAATGAGAGCAGGTAGTGATACATTGTATAGCTGTCTAATGAGAGCAGGTAGTGATACATTGTATAGCTGTCTAATGAGAGCAGGTAGTGATACATTGTATAGCTGTCTAATGAGAGCAGGTAGTGATACATTGTATAGCTGTCTAATGGGAGCAGGGTAGTGATACATTGTATAGCTGTCTAATGAGAGCAGGTAGTGATACATTGTATAGCTGTCCAATGGGAGCAGGTAGTGATACATTGTATAGCTGTCTAATGAGAGCAGGTAGTGATACATTGTATAGCTGTCTAATGAGAGCAGGTAGTGATACATTGTATAGCTGTCTAATGAGAGCAGGTAGTGATACATTGTATAGCTGTCTAATGAGAGCAGGTAGTGATACATTGTATAGCTGTCTAATGAGAGCAGGTAGTGATACATTGTATAGCTGTCTAATGAGAGCAGGTAGTGATACATTGTATAGCTGTCTAATGAGAGCAGGTAGTGATACATTGTATAGCTGTCTAATGAGAGCAGGTAGTGATACATTGTATAGCTGTCTAATGAGAGCAGGTAGTGATACATTGTATAGCTGTCTAATGAGAGCAGGTAGTGATACATTGTATAGCTGTCTAATGAGAGCAGG